GCATGGCCTGCCTCATCACATAATACAACTCAATTCAGCGCCCAAGTAAATTCGTTCAATTAAAATACATTGTATTGCCGACCAAGTTTAAGCCAATCGAAAAAGAAAAAAAAAATGGCAACTTGAAATAAAACGCTTGCTGTCGTTCGGCTGAAGTACCGACGAGAACAGACATTTACCTGAACTTGATACAGTTGGTGCTGGGAAAATTGGCCGACACGTATACACTCTGTGAGATTAATAAAGACACTTCGATTGCATAGATGGAAACTGCGGGAGGAATTGTTAATTGCAAATTTGGATGAAAATGCGCATGGGAGTGATGATATTGATTGCATCCGCTTTTTTACGTTCAACAAAATTCACACGATATTGACTTTCGGATTCAAATGGAGCCGCCATGGGCTTTTGAATTGTTTATTTTTTATTCAATCCAAAGCCTCATACAACTCAGTGGAGTACCCTACAATATTTTGAATTCATTTGCTTCAGTATGAAAAGGTTGCAGATTTAGATGAGAATGAAGTCGTCAGGGAGGAAGGGAGATATAACTCACTGTCCCATTCTTGCATCTTGACTTTGCGATGCTAACAAAAGCAAAACAAACACTTTTCATTATTAAAAACTAATAGTCGGCGTGGAGTTGAATCAATACCAATGCTTATGTATGGAAGTGTGTATGGCGTTCATGCAGTGAAATGTTCATGTTGTCGTTGTCGTTGTCGTCGTCGTCGTTCTTCATCCACTTGTTTGAGTGACCGCCGATATGCTTTTAGAGAGCCGACCGACATATATCCATCGACAATGCCGCATATTCATTTTGCAATGTTGTTGCATCAATTCTTCCAAGAGATTTCCATTCTCATTCTCATGTATCAAGCATTGAACATTGATTAGATTTAATTTTCGCACGGAATGTAAAGTATTCAAAGGAAGCCGTGCACATGTACGATGTTTGTCCGCGCACCGATTTCATACTGAAAAACGAATGAAATTTAAACCATTAAAAAATTATACTCGTCGGCACCATTTGTGGAAATTTCATTATCCATACCAAACTATAATTAAATTTATATATTCCAACAATGGTTCCACGAATATTGTATTTAACTTTAAACTTTGTTTTTAGTTGAAAAGTTAGAAAACTTTAGCCACGTTAGCCATTCGAGAATGCTTTTCCGTTGTTTGCAAAATAGTTCTAATTGAACATCTATCGAAACTTTTGATAAAATTGAATTGATTTTCGATATAACGATGTGACTCAAAACCATTGAAACAAATGTAGCAATTAAAGATTTTTAACAAAAAAAAGAAGAAGAAGCAAATATGTGTTTAAAAGCAGAGTTGCTCAAGATCACGCTCATTAAGTTCTTTCGATAAGATTTTTCTTATCCTTATGTCTTTGATTGCCTGTTCGCTTTGTCCTTTGAAGCTTTATTGCGATAAATTGTTTATAAATGAATATCTCGTTTGGATCATGTTTTCACGTTGCTCATGTATTCAAAAAGAAAAAAGAAAAAAATACAAACGAAGACGACGGCAAATGTGTACGTGTATACACCGGCCCATGTGTCTTGGTGCGTGTGTACAGTGTGAATGCGCTTTTCGTATAATAGACGACGGGACTAAGGATCACCACGAGAGACAAGCTAAGAGGATTATATATTGTATAAATTATACGTCGAGAGACAGTATCGGAATCATCTCCGCCTCACATCGGTTGTCGGTGATGTTGGTCCTGGTGTATAACTTCGTTTCGACTGACTTCGTGTTTGGCCATTATTTTAATTTTAATGCGTTCTCTTTTTTTTTTCGTTTAGCCTCTTATTCTTGATACATTCGTTATCTGTTTATTGCAGACGAGGTTAATCAATACGTGTGTCTCGTGACGAAAAGGCGCGAAAGAAACCAGACATTCCAATTTGGAACTAATAAAAATATTTTCCTCTCGCCTCCACTAAATATTCATTTTCATTCCTGAAATGTGTGGTTCCCTTTTGGGCATTTTTCGAAAAGATTCTCTCGTTCATTCATTCAGAGTAATTTGAAATGATTTCGAAACGTCAATCAACTGAAATGCAGTGGCAATGAAAGAATGTAAATGATTGTCAATACAAAAGTAAATCATTGCAAAATAAACGACGGTACATTGCAAACCAACCAAACATCGATTTAGCATCTAAATAGAGCGAACAAAAAAAAAAACGTTATTGACGACAACAAACGACGAAATGTCGCTTTATTTTATTTTAATTTTATTTGCATTGACACGATTTAATTCCAGGCTCCCCAATTGGACTTTGCAAACACATAAAATATCGAAGAGAAGATTAAAATACAAACCGACTGAAATTGAGACGCAATGCAAACAAATATTATCATTTTTGAAATTGTTCATTGCATTTTGTGCACTACGGAAACGAAATTTCAAACGTTCGCTCTCTAGAAAGGATCTCAACATTGAAACGATTTAAGCGTCATCGGTTTATGGTGCAAATCACAATCTCGGGACACATTCTCAAGGCTTTTACACATCTCTTTGAACTTTATTTATTTACTTTGCCGGTCGCTTCGCTTTTTTGTATGTCGCTTTTCATTTTTAAATTCAACGATGTGAACGACGAATCGCATTAATATTTATCAAAATTGTTCACTTCACTAAGGTTTTAAGTGCAAGCGAATATTTTATATCATTTCATTTGACTTCAATGCAAATAGTCATTCAAACCAGTTGGAGAAGTCAACTTAAAAATAAGACTTGAAATGTTTGCATTTTTTTATCTCTTAAAATATATTAAAGTATACATATTTTATGTGCACAATCATGAAGTCATTTAAGGGCAAATTTACAATCATGTGAGATACTAAACAGTTGATTTTAGAAATTATTTACATTGTATTGTGAACAACCAAATTTGAAGTAAAATTTTGCGAATAGAATATTAAAAATTGGGAATTGACAAAACATACCGTTCTGTTGCAAATTTTATAAAAACAAAGTTTTGTTGTGAGAATTCGTTATAGAACGATATAATTTCGAAATATATTGATTGATTCATCCACGTCAATTTCTAATAATAATGAGTAAATATTTTTGGGTCGTTCGTGTTAATATGCTGAGTTAAAAAAAACATATTATATACATGTTTAATTATGGTGATAAATTCGGCATATTGATATTGAAGAACAAGCGCTATTTTGATAGATACTTATAACACCATCTACGAAAAACAGGCTTACTATAATGTAAAACAAACGTATATATATTGCTCCTTCTTCTTCGTCTCCTTCCCCTCTTTTATTCTTGCTATATTTTCACATTGTAGTATGTCTGTTTTACACAGATGGCGTTATTCCCGGAAAATATTTCCGTAAGATATGTGCAGACATTATTTTGAGATATTTTCAGCCAGATGAATCAGCTCAGGAGTGAAAACAAGAAAAGTGATTGTTATAGTGATTGTAGCAATGTGGGTGTAATTATAGCCATAAGAATCACTTCTATTGTTTTCACCTAGGGGCAAATGACTACTTCGACGAAACCTATCGAATTGTACGAAAAACTTAAAAAAACTTAGACGAACTTATGAAATCGCACGCTACTTATGAGAATTTATACGAACTTACGCTTTGTCCATATACATTAACACACTGCTGTAAGTTCGATGTGCGTCAACATGCCGAAACAGTCGCACTGGAGTGCCACTGGTCAACTTTTTTTAATTACATCTCACGCTGCAAATAATTTGTACAAAAAAGTAGAACGTATTTTAAAATAAAAATTACCAATCCAATTAGTAAATTGGATATCATCCTTAAAAGACCTGATTTTGATATTGAAGCATCGCTCTCAACACTCATACTTATTACTGATTATTCACTAACAAAACCGACTCTTTCAAAAATGACGTCTAATTAGACGAATTTATATTTCCTGGTATTTTTTCACCGAAAACCTGCTTGACTTATTTATACAAATTATTTTCTATCTGATTCAACATGACTAACATTTATTACCATTTACAACATTCTGCGATGTTCACTTGACGTTGAAAAACTTACTAATAATCTATGGGAACTTACGTAAAACTTAAACGAACTTACAAAAATGTATGTAGAACTCAAGAGAATTTACGCGAACTTGTGAAACTTACATATACTTATGAACTTACAACGAGTCATTTTCCCCTAGGTTTTCACTCAATTTCAGCTCCTGACGATATCTGGCTGAGCTGATTCATCTGGCTAAAAATATCTCAATATAATGTTTGGATATGTGACGTCACAATACAATCATATTGACTGCGCGAATCTCTTGATTGAAATATACTAAATGGTTTTTGTTTTTTCCCATGATAACAGAAGACGTCAATCGTACATACAATCATATGGAATCGCTGAGTCTGGGGAGCTTCCCAACAAAATACGAATTAAATATTGAATGTGATCGTACACCGTATGCACAGTGAATACTGACAGTGCATTAAAGTATACATAGTCATCGATAATAATGAATATAATTTCAACAATTATCATTAAAAGCGTTAAACGCATTTCTATATTTGGCTTTCCCATTCGGTCTTTAATAATTATTATTTGCCGTAAAAACATTTGTATTCATTTAAATGTTATTTGTAAAAAACGCAATGGCACCAATGGAAGCACACACACACAGACCACCATACACATTTGAAGTAAAAATAATCACAACGTTTTTTTAAATTAACTTTGTTGTTGTTGAAATAACGTTTAAAATAAAAGATAACGATCACCAATATACTTGACAATGAACTTAAGCATGAATGATTTTTAGAACTGGAAAGTTTACTCTTCGTAAATATTTATTTTCTTCCTAGACTCCAGGGAAATTCCAGAAAACATTTCAAACAACAACATCTTTTTTAACTTTATGTCAAGGGTTATTTTGTTTTCGGTCAAAAATCCAATGCATGTTGATTATCCAATTTGACTATTTGGTATAATATAAAACTTGCAATATATAAAGTGAAAATATTTTATTAATGATTTTGGTTTCGTTGAAAATGTTCGCCATCACATTTACGAGCACGCAAATTCTTAATTTTTTTAAAAAGTGATTGCTTTATTAAACATATTGTATAAAAAATATTGCTTTTTTCATGTTAGCATTACAGCTTTTTGAAATATTTATGGAGCTCTGGGTCCAGTTGTACATGAGCCACGTCGGCCTGTGATTTCTGAAAATATTTATAACAAAAAAAAAAGTCGTGTTAACATTTTATTCTGTACAAAACCTAACTACTAATATTTTAGAAAAAGTACCTTCCCAGTTGTTTGTTAATTGTCGGCCACAATTATTTGCACATTGCAATTTTTGTTCATTGTAATAAGTTTGATTATCCGAACCGCAAAGGGGGGTATAATGACTGAGTGTAATACAATTTGCTCTACATTCTACATATGGCAACGAAGCTATAACTTGAGCAATTGCCGGATTTGCGGTTGTTGTTTCTTGATTTCCGCCCGATTGATTTTGGTTTTGGTTCGCTTGTTGTTGCTGTGGTTGTCGTTGTTGTAAGATTTGATCCAGAGTTCCCTGAACATTATTAATTTCTTGATTTGTACCACTATTTGGCACGATGGCATTAATTGGATTCTGTACAAATCCGAATGTATTCTGGGGACTTTGATTTTGGTTAAAGTTTTGGCCATTTATTTGGTTTGAAAATGTAAATCCAGGGTCTTGATTTGCGAAATTATTTGGGAGTTGATTAGAGAAGTCAGATGGGCTTTGCCATGAATTCCATGGATTTGGAAAATTCTGGTTTTGCTGAGATTCTTGACTTTGAAATCCTCCCATTTGTGGTCTAGCCGATACCAAGGCAATGGTTACTTTAATTTGTTTTAAATGATATAAATAAAAGATTATATTTTTATAAAGTTGTTTACAAATGCTTACCACAAAATGTAAAGATGGTGAAATAATTCATTGTTGAAAATTTAAAAATCAAATGAATATTGAAATTAATCTTTTTCAACTAGTGAACAATTTCAACTAAACTAAAACCGAATTTTAAGTCGAAACCGAACTGTGCTTATGAAGAGTGTAACATTTAGACTAAAGATTTTTCGTATTCAAATGCCATAAGCAAATGACTAAGAATTGTTCGCACTTGATAATCTTGATAGTGATAAGCATGAAAGACTAATGAAGAATTTATTATAATTATTCGAATTTAAAAAAAAAAATGAAATGATATCGATGGAGCACACTTGGAAAAAAAATAATCTTAACGGGTTTTCCAGAATTGATTTTGGTGTGGATGAAATTGGATTTAAAATAGAATATAATATTCACCGATATACTTGAAATGAACTTGAGCAGGAAAATCCCAGAAAATTAAGAAACATTTTAATGAAGAACGTTACATATTTTTTTTTGTATGGAGTTGTACTATGTAAAAACAAATTATGTAACGTTCTTCAGATTCCATTTTTGTATTGCCATTTTTTACGGACACATTTCAAACAACCATATCATATTAACGTTTTAGGTCAAGACGCCGATTATTTTTTTCAATACAAAATCGCCATATATCATAATCGTCATTCCATATTGATCCAGCGACTATTTTCTTACAAAAACGATTTATATGGAACATTGACGCCTTCACATGTTAACGGAAATTATAAAGTCAACGATTACTGAAAACAACTGAAAGTAAGCAATTTTTATGTTATCATTATTTTTCTAATTTGAACTCTTGTTTCCCCTTTTTTTAAAAGCCCCTGATAATAGGCAATTTAATAAAAATCCTGCAAACTGTGATGAAATTTCAATTATTGCCGGGTTTACTTCAAGCAAGGTATCAGTTATTAACTTGAAACCTCGTTTGTCAGATTCTTGATGCAGTATTATTTGGAGAAAAATAAGAGCCACTTTTTCACCGCTACGATTCATTTGAGCTTTTTCAAACACTAAAAATATCGATAATAAACATTTTATTTTAGGCAAAACATAACAAATAATTATACCATACGATAAGTACCATCCCAGTTGGGTGTTAATAGTCGGCCACAATTATTTGCACATTGTAATTTTTCTGCATTGCCATAAATTTGATTATCCGAACCACAAACGGGGTCATACTGACTGAGTGTAGGACAATTTATATATGGCGACGAAAGTTTAAGTTGAGCAATTGCTGGATTTACAGTTGTTGTTTCTTGATTTCCGCCCGATTGATTTTGATTTTGGTTCGTTTGTTGTTGCTGTTGTTGTTGTGATTGTAAGAATTGATTGAAAGTGCTATCATTATTTCCTTGATTTGTCACGCTGTTTGGATTGGGTTATTTACTTGGTTTGGACGTGACGGGACTGAATTTAAGAAATTATTTTGGAAATGTTGATTAGAGAAGTCAGATGGGTTTTGCCATGGATTCTATGGATTTGGGAAATTCTGGTTTTGCTGAGATCCATGACTTGGAAATCCTACTCAAATTTGTGGTCTAGCTGATGCCAAGGCAATGGTTACTTTAATTACAAAAAATAATATAAACCAAAGATTATACTTCTAAAAAATTGTTTACAAATTCTTACAACAAAATGAAAAAATGATGAAATAATTCATTGTTGAAAATTTAAAAATCAAATGAATATTGAAATTAATCGTTTTCAACTAGTTAACAATTTCAGCTAAACAAACTGTGTTAAGAGGAAACGAGGTATGCTCACGAAGATTTTAACATTTAGACTGAAGAAATTTCCGTATTTATACGCCATAATCAATGGACTAAGAATTGTTCGCACACTTGATAAACTTGATAGTGATAGCAATTTATGAATGAGTGGGATTAAAATGACCTGAAATCATGTTGCTCTTTTATTGTGAACTGAGACTGCAGGTCATTTTAATCATAGCCTATTCATGTGTCTTTATATAGAATTGATTATAATTATTTTGAATTATTATTTTTAAAAAAATGCAATGGTATCAACAACGGAAGCACACTTAGAACAGGAATAACCTGAAATTCAGATTCTGAATGTTTTTTTCCGAAATTGGTTGAAATAGCGTTAAAAATAGAAGACAATAATCACCAATAATGACTTTTTAACTTTAGATCAAGACCTATCTCATTTTCTTCCATAAGTTGAATATATGTTTAGGACTAGGACGAAGTACTAAACCACTCTTCCAATTAAATTCGATTTTAAAATATTGCTATTTAGATCGTGCATTTGGGCAGCGCCTTTGGCGTAATCAGTGTGTATTTATCTCAATTAAGTTAGCTGAAGAGTACCGTCGACGTTTATCTGAAATTTAATAGAATCTATAAATAACTTCAACTTTTTGCCAAACATAGCTTTAAACCTTCAAACCTTCGGTGACTTGTAAAATGTAATTTCAATGTTTGGCAGAAAATTAAAAATAATGTGAGGGAGCAGTGGTCCTGTGTCCATGATCTAAAAACTAAATGACAACAACCAAACAACCACTTTAAGGTGTTAAAAAATTGTAATGAGGCCCCGTCCGCCAGGCATTGGCATATCGATATCAAACATCAAAATAAATAGCTTTACTAGTTAGATTACTACAACTGACTCATACTTTACCATTCCAGAATTCAGCTTATTTAAATTTATTTAAAACATTTCTCCGATTGATCTGACTGAAAAAGTTTTCATTATAATCCAAATGGAATGTTCTACAATCTTCGACATGCGTTGTCTACCTCCTAGTTTAATCAGATGATTTTTGATTTTCACGCAGAGATAAACTCGTTATTTGCATACATTTTTAGCACATGGCTCTCAGCGTAGAATATATTGTTAATAAAATAGCGGAAATAATTCGAAAATTAATCGGATCCGAACAATGATAGCATTATTTGAGGGTTTTTTTGTACACAAGTTCGCACACACTATTATTTTTATGAAACAAAATTACAGTATATACATTATACATTCTTCTCTCTTAAAGATATCAGCAAATACCTGTTTTGTTTTCACACTGTTAAAGTGTCAACGTTGAGTTCATTGAACGTTTCATTGATTATATAAAAACCAGCATTTTGTATAGATGTGAAAAATTGAACAAATATTTTATTAATAGTTTTTAAAAAAATTGAAAAAATGTGACCGGTCATTTCGTATATATGAATGTGCGATAATGATAATTTGCACTCACAAACAGACAAACAGTATTTTGTATGTCAAATCTAAGAAATGTTTTAAAAGTGTTATTATTATTAGTTTATATAAAAAATATTGTTTGTTTTGAGTTAGCATTGAAGCTCTACGGCTTTTTGAAATATTTATGGAACTCTGGGTCCAGTTGTACATGAACCACGTCGGCCTGTGATTTCTGAAAATATTTATAACAAAAACGTGTGTTAAATATTTTATTCTGGACAAAACTTAACAAATAATTTTTACGATTAGTACCTTCCCAGTTGGTTGTTAATCGTCGGCCACAACTATTTGCACAATCCAATTTTTGTACATTGTCATAAGTTTGATTATCCGAACCACAAAGAGGGTTATACTGACTGAGTGTAGGACAATTTGCTCTACAATTTATATATGGTGACGAAAGTTTAAGTTGAGCAATTGCTGAATTTGCAGTTGTTGTTTCTTGATTTTCGCCCGATTGATTTTGATTTTGATTCGTTTGCTGCTGTTGTTGTTGTTGTTGTTGTTGTTGTTGTTGTTGTTGTTGCTGTTGTTGCTGTTGCTGTTGTGGTTGTGGTTGTAAGAATTGATCAAGAGTTCCATCAATATTTGGTGGATTTGTCACGCTGTTTGTATTCTGATTCGTCAAGAAGGGATTATTAGGATTCGGTACAAATGTGAATGTATTCTGGGGAATTTGATTTGGGTTATTCACTTGGTTTGGACTTGGGGTTTGGAAATCAAAATTTGGGTTTAGCCATGGATTCGATTCAAAGTTTTGTGGTCTAGCCGATGCCAAGGCAATGGTTACTTTAATTTAAAAAAATATATAAATAAAAGATTATACTTTCAAAAAATTGTTTACAAATGCTTACCACAAAATGTAAAGATGGTGAAATAATTCATTGTTGAAAATTTAAAAATCAAATGAATATTGAAATTAACCGTTTTCAACTAGTTAACAATTTCAACTAAACTAACGCTGAAACGAGGTGTGCTCACGAAGAGTTTAAAATTCAGACTAAAGAATTTTTCGTATTTAAATGCCATAAGCAAAGGAATAAAATTGTTCGAAATAACAAAAAAAAATCCAAACTGGAATCTTACTTAACAGTGATAACCTTGTCAACCGAATCATCTGGTTTTTGTCGTCGCCAATCGTATGAATTTCATTTCTTCATTATTATTAATTGTGTGAAAAAACCCACATACACACGCTAAAATTACAATAACATTACTGTTGTAGCCATCATTATTTATTTCAGTGTTCAGAGTAGTTTATAGTGTATGCCGGCTACCGTCATAGGCGAGAAAAAAACTTGTTTACGCGGTACTTTTTTATTCATTGCTCAAGTTCTTTTGCTCAGTTATCAACTCAGGGATTTCCGTTTCATATGTACATTAGAGTGTTTCCCATATCTATAATTAAAAAAATGGTATGTTTCAATTTAAAGAGGGTCAAATTTCATGCCAATTGATAGCAATCACAAAACATAGAGATTGGTATTACGACTTCCCGAAGCGGGACTGTTGAGTCATGCGTAATTTCGTACACCTCTAGTTATATAAAGTCGTGTAGGCTCCAAATGGGAAATTCAAAATAAACAAACATAAACATAGCGTTGCCGAACTAATGAAATAATAATAAATATTCTGAACAACATCGGAAAATGTACATACATTTTTATTTTTGTTAACGGCCAAATTTCAAAAGTCCATCAATACTGCGATGACATTTCGCAGTTTCAATTTTGTTTATATCAAATGAGCGTTGTGTTTACTGTTTCAAATCAACAAAGTATTGCGTTTTGTATGCTAATATTTTTCTCCTATAATTTCATCATCTCACTCACACACATACATGTGACTACTAGTCACTGACTAGCATCGTCAAAAGGCAAGCAATATGTATCCGTTTGTTTGAATATCAAATACCATTGATTCGATTGTACATAATACATTGCTGACTGTCTCGTTTTTTGACCGTTCGTTGACAGTCAACGTTCCAGTTTCATTTACATCAAACTTGAGACAACTCTTTCGATAGTGTTCAGTTTGTCATCTGAATGTGCAAAAGAACACAACAATTATAATCAATAAATTCCACTACTGTATTTCGAGTCAAGAAAATGTTTTGTTTGCAATAATAATGCATTCTATTGTCATTTTTCCGTTAATTTTGTATTTGGTTCTGCTTTATAAAATGGAGGGCAGAATATTTGCAAAACAATATGGTAATATTTCAACACTTTTCGATCTTTTTGAGTATTTGAACCGTTCGCCATCTGAATTTCGCAACAAGACGAAAATTCAGACATCAGTTATGTCGCTGAGTTCATCAAAGTAAGATCATTTTGAAGTTTGAATTTTTGTGTGCATATTTATCTCTTCTCTATTCCGCAATTAGATTCATTTGAACATTCATTTTATAGTGTTTTTGTGCCAATTGAATTGAACTGATTGCTGCACTCGGAATTGAGTTAAAGTGAGTTAGAAATTTATTTTATTGTGCTCTCAAAGAAAAAAAAAAAACAATAGAAAGTCATTGTGTTCAGTAGCATTTTTTTATGTCGTATCGAAAAAATTTATTCTTCATTGCAATTGCATTAAAATTCTATTTTTAGAATTCGATATTGACAATGAGCGGACGAAAAAGAAAAGGAGTTGGTGCTATATGTGGATCGAGACCGAAAAGACGTAAAGTGGGCAAACTTCCAGAAGAAAGTGGATTGTTAGCCATAAAGGTATCCGCCGCAACGGCAGTCAAAGAGGAATATCACGATATTGTGCTGCCATGGATTGCGAAGAAGAGTATCGAGTGTACAAAAATCTGTGAGCTGGCGTCGCTTTTGTTTTTACACAAAGTGAAACTTGCCAATGAAGAGGCCATTTTGACGAACAACTGGAAATTTTTCGATGAAGGTGATGGTATCCACATAATTGAAGGATGCTTCTTTGCTGTGTTGCGCAAATATAAAGAAGAGAACGACATGGTGCCTGAATTTCGAGACATAGTCGAGGCATTGGACGGAGACAATCGGTTCGCATGGCCCAATAATGATTATTTTGGGAATCTTATGAGATATTTATTCCAACAACATGCACGAAATGCCATAACCAACCTCACCACACACGATGACAAACGACTTCGTGAGTACCTGAGATTGTTGGTGTGGGAACACAACGTCGACAATCTGGATCCAAACGACGTATTTGATGAACATGATGTCAACAATGCAGTGAAGTGGGCCATTGAAAGATACGATTCAACCAGAGGTGATGCGATTAGATTGGACAAACGGAATCGGTTGCTCACTTGTGTGCGAAATATTGGCGGACCAAAAGACGACAACATCGCAAAAGATACAAAAGAGAATTGGTTCGCGACGTTGCCAATGTGGCTTCACATGCAAAAAAAGATCGATGATTATCACAATTGGGTACAAAACAACCTCGAAAATATTCCGGCTGACATTGAGCTTCCCATAATCAAAAATCTTTCAGTATTACCAATTTGCACACATTTGCGAAAGAATATTAAAATTAATGCCGATATATTGTATCGAATGATGTGTGAAACCAAAATCATCCCGTTAGATGAGTATGGACGCCAAGTTGATGGTACACATGTCTGTGAAAACAAGGTTCATTATTTCAATGAGATTTTCGATATGAACAAAATCAATGGAATATTGAACGCGAACAAAGAATTTCATTATCATGTTGTAACCGATGGTGTGTCAGCATCGATTTTATACGACGTATCGCGAAATACATTGGAACAGTTGGTGAGCGATGAACTCATAAAAAAGCGTTACGAAGATGGCGTTTACATCTACGAATTGGGAATCGATCCGGGCATGAAAACGTGGAACGCGACCGTTAGACGGCATATCGACTCCGGCAAAGAGGTATGTGTTTGTGATTTCTCAGTATGCATTTCATTTCATCGTGTGATTTATTCCATTCATTTTCTCTCTCTCTCTCTCTCTCTCTCTCTCACACACACACACACACAGATGAATTTCAAGACCAGCAGTAAGAAATATCATTACCTGACGAAGCAAGGAGTACGAAACCGAAAAGCGAAGCGGTGGACACGTGGGTTTGTCGCCTTTGAACAAAACGATCGAAATGACAGAACCCGTTATCCGCAAATGCCGAGTCCAAAAGGAGAAAATTGGAGAGACTATATAAGTCATCGCTTGAGGATTATGAAGAAAGCCATTGACGTGTATACGAGCGAAAGATACACCCGTCTACGATTTGATAAATATATCGAATCGAATCGAGTATGTGACAAGATTGCTGCCATGCTGGTAAGAACAAAACATAGATCATTTGTTGAATATATTTGATTTGTTAATAAGAAAAATATATTCTTGTGTCCAAATAGACAAATGGTAAGCCTTGCATAATTTTCTTGGGAGCGGCGAATATCTCACCCAACTCGCCGATAAAGATTAAAAAGAACATTCGCTGCCCTGGTAACCGAAAGCTGATTAAAAGTTTTAAGAAAATGCTGGGCAACGTGGTGAAAATGGTGAATGAGTTCCGAACGTCTCGACTGTGTGCACGCTGCTTCGAGCCATTTCCTTTGGAAACATTGGGTCATCGTTTCAAAGTGTGCGAATGGTGTGTGCCAGATAACAACGACTGGCCAGAAGGATTGAAACTACCCGAAAAAATCGTGACGATGAAGAGCAAACGAATGCTGCTATCGGAACGACAAGAATTGCGCGATGCAATGGTTGCGAATCCAAATCAAGCTGTTGGTTTTGTGTCAAAGGTCATTTGTTACCGAAAAAACTGGCGACAAAACGCGGCATACGATGCGGTTAACAACGTTGCTCAGCTACCAGGCATTATTCGCGACGAAAATGTCATCGATTTTACAGAGGATTACATGCTTCTTGATGATGACTTCTATGTCGCCGAAGAGGAAGCCATCCTGAACACTATTTGGCACCGGGACATTGCAGCTGCAAAGCTGATAATATACAAAGGTAATTTATTCATTGAATTAAAATTGGATTCCGAATGAGAAAGTGATTGAAATTGAAGCATATAATACTATTTTGTTTTAATTAACAAATTTATGTGTGTTTTCTCTTTGTTGTCAAGGCCATTGTGGACTTTTCGGATTTGAGCTGCATCGTAACTTCACCGTTGAACGCCTCGTCTATCCAAGATGGATTCGAATCCACTAACGAGATAGAATTAAGATCGATGAATTTAAAATTTGAAACTAATTAATGTAATAGGATATTATATGTAGCTGGGTCGATTTAGTGACCCAGGTTCTATCGATAGAATTTAGAGGAAAGAATATGTATAGGTTGTTCTCTATCTATTCTATTTGATGTTCATAGAATAGGTATTGAATTCCTATGCCAATATTTTAGTCCTTCGATAATAGTTCATGGATAGATAGAGTACATTCGGGAAGAGTTTTCATGTAAGTATTTATTCACCGCATGGCAATTGGCATTGACTTGACCATAGTTTTTTGTTTGCTTCGGGAAGTCGTAATGCCAATCTCTATGTTTTGTGATTGCTATCAATTGGCATGAAATTTGACCCTCTTTAAATTGAGAACTACCATTTTTTCATTTGCAGATATGAAAAACACCCTAATGTACATCAAGCAATCTTTTTTTATTACATGTGATCTAAAGCTTTAATTAAGCAAATTGTGAAGGAGGAATAGATTGTTAATGGCACCCGTTTTGACGATGTTGCATAATAGTTCTGATGGAAAACTCAAGCAATATCCCGTTAACATACACAAAACTTCTTGTTTGTTTACATTCTACGTTATATACTTGCTTGCATTGACAAAAAAACTATTATATACGACATCTAATAAGCAGGCCGAAAGGATGTCAACTGCCACTATATAATGAAAACAACCATAATAATTTTGTGAATCTAGATGAATTTCGCAAATAAAAGAAAATGCTCTGGAAAAATTGCAATTTGTTTTATTATTCATAAATTTTCAAAAGCTGCCTTGTAATCATATCAGTTTCAAACAAGTCTAACTATTTGAATAAAAACAGTGTCTCTATGGATGTGAATTGGAGCATGTTCATGTTGTCCTTCACATCACATGCAATCAACAGGATTATTTGCGCAGCATTCATCACTTTTCTTCAACGGTTTTTTTGTTGTTGTTATTTCCTTACTATTCTCAATACACTATCCTACTCTTCTGCTACATTCAAAAGCATGATTCTTTTTTGTTTGCATCAAAAATACATCGTCTTAGTGTAATGATGATTTGCATCTGTGTGTTTTTTTGTTGAGTGTAGAGCGTCAAAATACAATTATTATCTCTAATGTTTAATTTAAAAGCGACTTTTATAAAAGAGATAACAGCCGTTTAATACATAGCCAAATTGAAATAAAACGAATAGCGGTGACAGTGAATAATGTAAAGGTGGGCTTGAAATATGGCACACGTTCCGCTATAGCACACTGTTACATTATCACATACACGCATCTATTAATATACACAAACACTCACATACACATTGTAACAATTACTTGCGCACTCCCGATTAGCTTGTATTATTAGACATACGACAACAAAAATAGACCTGTAATACGGACACAAATTGTATATTTCGTATTTGTTCGACATTCGAATGTGAGCGAGACACGGATGGATTGTTGGATATATATGGCCTTTAATCAAACATTAGAGTGCTTCAAAAAATGTGCATCCAAAATGTGTTTTTCCTTCTGAAACCGCACAACCGCTTGAATACTCGTAAAGGTGCATTTTCCAAGGCGACGATTGCAATCGTCCACGATTTTTTTTTCAAATCGGGCGTCAAAAAAACCACAAATAATAAATCGTTCACGATTTTGGCGTCAAAAAAACCATTGATCTCAATCGTTAACGATTTTGGCCAACGATTTGAAATCGTACACGATTGTAATCGCCGCCTTGGAAAATGGACCTTAAATCTAATAAGAACTATGATGTTGGCACTTATATGAGTCAGGGATTTTTTTTTTAAAGAGAATGCGGTTCTAAATATGTTTAGAAATAAAATTCATTCCATAATTATATGGAATTATTCGACCTTAAATGTTCGTTTCTCATTGATATGACCTCGTGTAAAACTTCTGATATATTAAGTGAAAATGCGTAATTTATTAACAAGTCTATTCTTAATTGTTTTAAAAGTGATTGCTTTTTTATGTTTATTACATTTTTATTGGAGGATTACAGCTTTTTCAAATATTTATTCATTGAGAGAAAGTAATAAATTTTTGGACACTACTGTGTATTTATTTTGGATTTATACAGTAAAGCATCTAAATTACGTTCGTTGAACCATTCATTTTAAATATTCAAAATTTTAAATGCTGCACTGTATTTCAGCTTTCGTCATCTCGCGTTCCACATTCACCATCATGTACAATAGTCAAGTCTGAAAATATTTATAACCAAAAAAATGTGTTAAGACAAAACTTAACAAACAATTTATACGATAGGTACTTTTCGAGTTGGAGCTTTCCGAGTTGGGGCACTGTTTTCGACATTTAATTGAGCTTGGATTACTATAAGTTAAGTTATCCGAGCCACAAACGGGGTTAAATTCAAGGGTTCCTACACAGTCACAATCTCCAAATTCCTCAATTGCATAACCAGGCATGTTTGATTTCCAGCCGATTGATTTTGGTCAAGAATATATTTATGCAATTGTGGTCTAGCCGATGTCAGAGCAACGGTTAGTTTAATTTAATTTTTTTAAAGAGTAATATAAATAAAATATAATATTTAAAAAAAAAATCGATTAGAAATGCTTATCACAAAGTGTGAAAATGGCAAAATAATTCATTGTTGAAAATTTAATAATCAAATGAAAAATGAAATGATTCGAGGTGTGCTCACGAAGACTTCAAAAAGAGTATAGAAATTGTCGTATTTAATTGCCATAAATAAGGAATCAAAAATTTGTTCGCACACTTGATAAACTTAATTACTGATAACCATATGTCTACATGTCTTTATTAAAACATTGATTATAATTATTTGGAATTATTATTTAATCCTCTAATGCAATAATTTTTTTTCGAAATGAGAACTATTTTTATTTGATTATTTTGGTTTGAGGTTCCTTAAAAAAATAATCGAAATTCAAAAAATTGCATCAAATGACCGGCAAATGAATGCCTGAACTCTGCTGAATATATTTTAATTCATAAAAAGAATCATTTGTTTTTTATTATATATTTTAGACAATAATTTATACACCCCAAAGGCAGGGCTATGCACTAGGGGGTTAAATCAAACGTTAGAGTGCTTAAAAAAATGTGCGTCAAAAACGTTTTTTTTCTTCCGAAATCGCGCAGCCGCTTGAGTAAATCGAATAAAAAAAGTCATATTTGTAAAGAGCGTTTTTCGTTTTTCATATTTGCGAATTGACAACCACCCTAAATATATCCTGAGTGCTGTTTCTATGGCGCGCGCACTCACACAAACACACCGAACGCAAACGTATCCATCCATCCGTGTATGTGCGTGAAGTCGAATAAATTATTCTATTTACCCTCAGCACAGTGCAGATATCATTGTTCTCTCTTTTAATATAGGAAAAGCGTTTGCATACGAGAATCGAGAATATAATTTTTTTTGTGATATCGAACCGCCGTTTCATGTGTTGTGTTTTTTTTTTGGTTCATTCATTCTCTCTTTCGAACTACATACACATTGAATTGAGAGCGTTGTGTTTGTGGCCATTCTGTTTCATCTCTTCTCGTTGGTTTTGTCGTCAATTTTCGTCGCTGTAATCGTTGTTGCCATTTCTATTGTGTTATTGTGTTCACGTTTTTTTGTTCGCATTCATTTTACGTTATTTTCATGCCAAAAATTTAATTCGCATTTATTTGGTTGGTGGCGATAATTTTATTGCTAATTTTAAATTAAAAAAAGTGACACCGCGTTTTCTAAAGTGCATTAATATTGAATCAAATTGGTGTGAGTGAGTGTTGTCGCTTGCATTATTTTAGACATTTTGGTTTGTCATTTTATTATCGCGACAAATTCGTTAAAACAATGCACCAAAAGTAAACAGAAGCAAAGAAATCAAACAATAAAAAACAACAACAACAACAACATTGAGCAACAAATAAACAGAAACACGCATTTATTTCTTAAGACGCATGATGCTTTTGTGTCCATAGTGTCGTTTGATTCGGTTTTTTTTATTTCGTATTGATCAACGCGCCACCGTCATCCGTTTTGACGTGTGAAACGATGATTTTTCTTTTTCTTCGAAATGTGCAATGAAATGCATCAATTCCATTCGCTGTTCGAACATTATGGAAAATCACCATGTTTGCTTTTTTTATTTGTGCACACAATGTACTATTTGAAGTGAATCGTTATTCACACGTTTTATTTGTTTGGTGAGCCAAAGCTATGAATCAATTAATCAATTTCCATTGTCGAATAATAACTTTTACGATAATCAACGGCGAATAATAAGAGTAGGATGGTAAAATGTGTGTATAACATTTTTGGTACTGAATGTATCAAACAAATGAATCATTCGCATCAAGTGTCGTCAGTTAAAGTTTACATTTTCACATCTAAAACTAAGCAATCGAAAAACAAATAGATATAACCAAAAGAATTATCGAGAGGTTGGGACTGTAAACGAACACACACACACACACATACACAAAACAACAAACTTTTTCCTTACAAGTTGAATCTGTTGATTTGTTTCAAACGACAAAGACGACGACAACAACAAAAACATTATCAATTGTGCGCAGCACAACGGTACAAAACAGCAACCAGCCAAAATGACAGATAACAGTGATACCGACGCCGATAAGGTAAATTCAAACATGAATCCATCATGTCATTTCTTGTATTATTTATCTTTTGTTTGTACTTCATGCCGTTTTTTTATTTGTTAAAGATAACATTAGATTTTCAAGCGTTGTCAGTTCTAATTCCATTTCAATGACTAAAAATCATAGCTAATTACAAAAATACTCAACCGTATTGATAACGATATTCAGCGGAAAAATCTTGTTTTAAATTTGCTGCAGTTTAATTCGTTATCACCCGCATGTTAAATTGTAGAATGAAATGAGGATGCGACATGAAAACAGAAAAAAAAAGATACAAATGAAATAGTTAAATAACTTGTCATGAATCCGATTTTCTTAGCAATTATTTCAAGTAGAGTTCATTAAACTTTTTGCTTTTCCCCCTATTGATGACGGCACATGATATTCATACAAATAAGTATTTCCTTAACTATTTGAAATGCTTGCTTCATTCTAGTCCACTATCCTTTTGTTTCGTGCGCTGAATATTTGCATGCACTTGTATAATTTATAAGTTATGTCATAATACATAATAAAGTCACACTCGGGTAGTATTGTGAAAACGGCGAATATTTGACACCAAGCCGATTTTGTTGTTGTTTTCTTTAAATAATGAAAATTTGCACATTCGTAAAAAAAAATAGGGAGAAGAAGACGCCATTCGACACTCAATGCATTTCAATATGTTTGAAACAAGCATCATTCGATTATACACGAATGCATTCGAAATGGGGGACTCAATGCTCAATGCTCCCTGCTTGCAAATGTCATTGAGGGTGCATGTTTATATATGTTTTGAATGTATTTGTCTCTCTCTCTCTCTATGTGTGTGTTTGTTTGACTCTTTGAAGATTTGGATTCATTGAATTTGGTTCGTTGCGTTTGTGTATGGCCATATGATGTGTATAAAGGGAACAGAAATGAAAGCAAATAAAAAACGGACACTTCCAACTATACATATCAACATGAGTTCATGCTGCGATACGCTATTTAATGTGTGTATTCAGATACTGTGTAACATCCTCCGACATTCATCGAATTGTTTTTAAATAACAAGAAAGATTGCTGTTCCATTTTCCATGCGAATTACACTCAAATTATAGCATACTACACGTAGAAGAATTATTTGTAGTTTCTCATTCGTGTTTTCACAACAATTGCAAGAAAACTTCGCAAAATCCTCTTCCTCTCGCCTCTCGACACTTTTATTTGCAACGGTTTGAAGGGTATCGTTATTAAAAAGTAAATATGAGTGAACCTTTTTTCCATTAGATTGCATTCGGTGGAAATTCATGTTCATTAGACCGATCCATTGTTCTTGCTTATTATTATCAAAACAAGCGTGCAAATTGAACACTTTTTTTGGATGTAAACATATCTCTTTCTTCATCATACCGAAAATACCAGCGACACTCACCAACTCTCCAAGTTCTATCATGTCTCATATTGTTTTTTTAAAAGGAATGTTGAAAATATCGTTTCATACTCTATATAACACGAATACATATGAAATGGGGCGGCCTATCCATGAAACGCCATCCTATTTGTCGTGGTGCAATCGTACACATATTTGTGTGCGAGTATACCTCTTCGTATGTTTTTCATCCACAATCATATAATAGATGAGTGTATGTGTGTGTGTATATATGTATGTGTATGTGTGCAGATGTGAACGAACATAGGACAAGAAAAGGAACAACTGTAGGAAAAACATTTTCACACTGTGTGTGCTTTCCTATTTTGTCAAGTGTGTCAGGATTATTTGCTATTTGTGTACGGTGTACATGTGCAGTGTATGCGGAAGTGTACGATGTGCGAACCAATGCTTCATTCCATCTCGCTAAATCGTATGCAGTGCATGTTGGTAGTATGTGTTTGTTGATTTCATTTCGAAAGACGTGAATTTGAGCGAAAATTGTAAGCGCCTCTACACAAAGATTGGATGTGAGTGTCGAGTTCTTTTCAAATTTTATATTTTTCGGTGGGTCTTTTTTTCTGTTCCTTCACGAATTAGCTTGATCATTTTTTTTTTATTTTTCTCTTTCGATTGCGTCGTGCAAAGTTTTCATTTTAATTAAATTGTCATGTAAAAGCATCCATGAAAATGAAGAATAAGTACAATGTGGCTGAGTGTTTTATTAAAGTGTGTATGTTTGTTATATGTGTTTGTGTGTGCGCTCCGTGTCTGTGCAAATAGAAAATGTGCACCGCCTCGACGGCATTTCAATCGGCAAAAAAATTGATTTTCTTTCAAATGCTGAAGGACTTGGTTGGATTTTGGTACAATTTATCAATAGAACAAATGAATTGTTGAACATGGAAAATTCATTCGAAAAAGTTTTTCTGACAAATTCAGCAAGAAATTTTATTACCGCAATCAGTGCTGAAACTTTTGCCAATAACCACTATATTTTGATAGTTTATGGGCTCCAATCTATGTGCATGTTGAAATCAACAGAAGTTCGGTCGCTATAGATGACGTCACACAAGCAGAACAGGAAAATCATTTGTCTTTCGCATGTATTTGAAAAAAAAAGGCACTCAGTTTCGTTCATTTTGTTTTTGCTCCATTCCTCTTTTCATCTCTCTCCCTAACTTGATGTTGTCTAAGACTTTGTTGTCTGAAGCAAAAACACCGTGAAATGGCAGAGAATGAGCTTTAGGATGTGTTTTGGATATGATTCATATTCAGATTAATGACACGAATTTTCTCAGTTCACTGCCCCCAATCATACAAATTGAGTGTGTGTGCTTTAAACATGCCATCAACACATATACAACCGCAACATAGCCATTTCTCAAAGAGACTCATTTAATAACACTCAAAAGTGAATGTTTCGCACATTTTCACAACATGGGTTTTCCATTCTAAACCACTTTTGCTACTCAATACTGTTTGTGCATATCATTTATGCCAACATATAATGATTTTCAGAAATGCATAGAAAATAAATGGAAACAGGAAAGGTGCATATCATAAGTAATGCCATTGTTTTGTACATCGGACGCTTTTGATGGAGTATTTTTTTTTTCAATCTCTTATTTTCCTATAAATGCACTTCTACAACCTGAACTGAGCTCTAGAAATGTAATGGCAAACAAAGCGTTTTCTTTGCATTTACATTTTTGCTGAATCGTTTAATTGAGACTAGATTGGCTCTTAGAGTTTTGTTTATGTCATAGAAAGTTTTGCATATAATTTGATACTATTTCTTGACCTAACTGCCTCTTGTTCTCTTTTTTCTTTCTCTATTTATTTGATCAATTTGAAGGCGCAACGAAAAGATGTGAGTCAATACGCTGCAGAGATAAATCAGCTGAAAAAAGCGCTGGTGGAAAATAATTCACAGTTGATCGCAATGGAAGCGGCGTGTCTACGAGAAACTGATCGACATGTCGAATTGGAAGACAGTTTAATTGCATGGCAAGATAAATACGAGAGGTTACATGAATCGCACAAGCGTGTACAAAAAGTCAATCAGAGTTTGGAGGATAAACTTTTAAAGCTAGTCGATCGAAATACAAGCGAACGTGCCCAACTGAATAGTGATGTAGCAACACTAAGCGTACGACTCGCACAAGCAAATTATAATATAGGCACGCTACAACGTGAAATTGTGAGTATAATTCGATATTCGAAATTTTTCTAACGAACATTCCCAAAAGAATGCTAATTCATAACAACAAACAAAAAAATCTTTCCACTTTTTATTTGAATTTTTTCTTTTTCTCTGTACAATAGGAACGCTATAAGACTGATATGAGTCTTGCCATACAACTTCTTCAATGCAAACCAGAAAACTTTGTATCACAAAAAGTGACATCGGTAATTATCAATTAAAAATATAAACTACATAATATATGGCCATATTTTGTATTGAGTTAATTGTTCTGTTGAATCATTTTAAAATTAGCTACCGCACGACATGCAAACCAAATTATCACAATATATTCGAGTGGATACGAATTCACATTCGGATTCAGAGGGCAGCACAAGTGGCATTGGAACGGCTACCGATAATGCATATCACATTCTCCCGGCATCAGATAGTCCAGTATCGTCTTGTCCATTTTCTTCATCAACCACAACATCATTAGTATATGGAAATGGTAAGACTTCCCTGGGGCACCATTTCATTTAAAAATTAATTAACTTTAATTTAGAAGCTTTAACATACAAGCTTGAAACGGTTTACAAATTGAATTTAATAAACACTCTTGTTTTTCTCCCATTTAAAAAAAAACTCTGTTGTTCGCTCAATAAAAAGGAGTATCCTCAGCTAAGAATTCGAATGCAACAAACAATGGCGATGACCAAATGATTTCACCAATTGGTATCGCCAAATATTTGGAGGATAAATTGAAAGCGGCCAATGTAAAGCATTGCGAAACGTGTCTATGTGCAAATCGTGATTTGCGCGTGCTAGCAGATATTGATCAAACATACAATGTTGGAACGCAAACAATATTGCAGGGTGATGTCAATTTTGCATTGTGTTTACGATGCAATAGCAATTTAAATTCACCATCGAGTACGAATAGTCCGTTTATTTTGAAACTCGTTAAATCCTGTGATTCTATAGTATCGGATGCAAAAAGTAGCATATCATGTGCCGGCTCTAATGAAAAATTACTGGGAAAAAAGGATGATTTAATGGTGAATCCAATATTGGGCCACACCCCAATTAGCGAACGAACGGTTAAAAAGCATACAACACCAAATCGATCGATGCAGGAAAATCTATCATCGTTATCGTCACAATCGTGTTCAAAACCATGTGCAAATAATATCAGCCACGATAGTAGCCAACCAAAACAGCATACAACAACCGTTTCAAATGACGAATTGCCACGAGCAAAAGATTCAAATCGTTCGCATCGCCAAAGTGAAAGAGCCAGCAGTTCAAGCAGCCTATCAAATCGTAGTTCGGCTGCTTTGGATGGATCGAAATTGTTCGAAAGTTTTAATAGGAATCTTATCAAATCTATAAAGGTAAAATTTAATTGAATTGGACTTTTACATGAAACTAACATATTGTTTTATTTTTGGTTAGGCTGAAAAACCAAATTTGTCGGGTCCGCGTCTGTGTGCTCTACGTATTCCAAATGGAAGCGGTAGTATTCTCATTGATAATATTGAATCGGATTCAACGCCCGTCATTTATACGCGTCGAAGTCGATTTCTGGATGAAGAACTGGATGAATCCAAGGATATTATCACAACCAGTCAGTATCCGTCGATCAATGGAAACACTGACCAACAACAAAGAACTTATCATAAAATTTCGATGCTAATGAGCGATGGTGTTATCACAGCAAATTCACATGAATCAAAATCCGAATCATATAAAGCCAATCACAAAATGCATGACACACAAGATGTCGACTCAATTGATGTTGCTCAAAATTACGATGAATGTAATCAAGAAAATGAATGTGATCAGCCAAATCAAAAATACTGTACGAACACAACGCACATAACGAATGATACAATCGGATTAGAGAGAAATTATAATGGTTTGTCCATCAACGATCATGATATAAGTGAAAATATTGCATTCGGTGAATCATTGCAAGATGATAACCAATATCAATTGAACAATGGCACCAATTTAAAAAACGAAATGGAATCAACAAATGATAAGCAACAAAGCCAATTTATGCATATGCATCAATTTCGATCGACGCATCCTCTATCATTGGATGAAACATCGTTGTTGCGACGCCAACAATTGAGCCGCGTTGCCGAATGGGTACAGAATAATTTCGATTAATTCTTTGATTATTTTAAATTTTAACTATTCTTTTTCTAACTCAGGTACAAAATAATAATCATGAAGCATGCCACCCAGACGCTGACTACAAACAAGTTTTAAAGTTAAATAACAACAGTGATGAAATTAGCAATCGTTCTATAGATAGGAATTCAAAGTCATTATCAATGATCAACTGCAATAGTTTGGCAATCAGTGATTCCGAAGCCGGTAAGCATTTACGATTTTAATTCTTTTATTACACGCCAAAGAAACGTTGAAATCATTCAAATCACCATCTTTCCAATTACATTGGCTCTGAATTAAAAAAAAAATCACCACAAATTATTTGACGTGTGTACGTCTTTTTTTGCAGCTCAAAAAACCATTGATTACAGCCAGATGAATAATAATGTGAATAAATCGCAACTAGGCAGCACAAACCAACAAGTCGATTTAGCTCAAATGGAATATAATGTTAAGCAGTTTTTATTAAAACAAAATGAATGGTCGCCCAAAGAACCACCGCCTCCATCACCTCCATCGTTGTCATCGGTTTCTCATTCTTATTGTTGAAAAACCAAAATATCATTGCAAAACTTGTAAGCACTCACGGCGAATTTCAGCGCGTCGCATTTTATATGATCGAATGTTTAGATTGAACGGAGTTTGAAACGAAACGCGTATTTCAATGAATACGAAACAATGGTTTTCATTTTTAGATATAACAAACAAACAAACAAAAACGGCAACCACATCCCAGTGGAAATAAGCCCAGTTTAATCTAAGTGACAATTTTTATGGAAGAAACCGTACATATGATGTAAATAATCCTCTTTGAAAACAAAACTAATATCAACAAATGTACGTGATGTGGACTTAAATTATTGCGAATAGATAGATACACACATTATCAAGCGTTTCATTTCCACAGACGCACACTTGCAGAGATTCACAACGCATATATACGCATATGTTTGTCACACGACTCATATATATTCTTGATGATGCAAACAAAGAGTACAATAATAACACAACATTGCCATTTGTCCATATTGCAATTGAAATTAATAATGTTTGACAATGGCAAACGAAAATGATATTAACATGAGAAATTCTTAATGGATTTCGATTTAAAAGAAAAATGAAGAAGATGATAAACATACATAAAAAAAACCAAATCATAGTAGGAGCTTAGAAAAAAACATCGATTGTTTATCTCATAAAGGTTTATATAAGAAAACAAAGCAAACAGACAAACAAAAATCACTATACACCTATATAATTACGTATCTTCCTCTCCTCCACAAATTATTATTATTCTTATTATGTATTATTACTATTATATGTTTGAGAGGGCTTTATAGCATTCATGCATCATATATTGCTTGATTGAAAGACCGTATTATATTTGCTTTTGCATATAACTTGATCAGGCTGATTAATATTTGCCAATATTTTACAAAAAAAAAACGTATACAAAACTTTTGCGAAATTATCGACAAGAAATGAAGAATAAGAAGAAGAAGGAGACAAAACAATATATAGTAAAGAAACATTTGACTTAAAAAAACATTTGCTGAAAAAATCGATCTATTTAGTTGCGTAGGTGCTAGAGACTTTTAGTTATTAACTCAATTAGATTCTATATTTATTTATGTAAAAACAATGAACAGAAGAACTTCACGAACATTTTTCACGACAAAATCCGTTGACGTTGAATCTTCTAATCCAGCTATGCTTTGCATGTATTGGAACCAAACCGAACAAAAAAAAATCAAATCAAAAGCAAAAACCAGAGCATTTTGTAGTGTTTATTCGGTAAAATTTGTTTGATTAAAATCACGAAAGTGCAACCCAATATATATATGTATAGATATATTTGAGAAAAAAAAAACTTATTTATTTTGTGATAAGAGAACGTTCAAGTGATTTTCGATTTAAATTTTGTTTACCCTTATCTCTTTATTCTAATCATATTTCGGTACTTCAACTTCGCAAACTGAACCACTTTAGATCTCACCACTCTTTTCACATTTCCGGCGAGAAAATATTTTTTCTTCAAAAATATTAATAAATCAAAACCAATAGCAATCATTTTGAATGGTAATTATAGCATGAAAAATGTATCACTTTAATATCAATGGATTTTCATCATAATCATTTCATTTATATTTTGAATTTCATCTTTTAAATATTTCAACAACAAAAGAAAACGAGCACTTTTTTTACCGGAGATGTTAGAAGGGCGGAAGTGTTATAAAGAGATATCTATAAACTGAAGCACTGAAGAATTAACGAAAATATCGTTTCGAATTGAATCGTATCGAATTGAATCGAAGCGAATGAGAGAATGATATATAAAAATAATATAAAATGGAAAGTGCTTTCTTTGAATGTCAATACCTTGCATCAGAACCAATAATATAAGGAAAAATTGTGTAAATTCCTTTATTGTTTTTCTTCAATGAATCAAATAAAATGTATAATCCCAACAATTATTTCGTTCAGTCATTTGGCAATTGTTTTGATCGGTACGAAAATCAGTAAAACTCTGATAGTAAGACTTCTGGTAAGTAATGCGAAAGTCTTGTTTTTATAGTTGAATATAAATTGACGATAAGCAAAATCGACCCACATAGATATTAATGAAATCAAATCATCGCATCACATTCAATGGGTTATTTTTTTTTCTAAATCATTAATTGGCATCTACGTATTGGCACAGAAATGGCAAGAGAAAAGAAAGTTGTTTCGAAAAATTTACATTTTTAAAATCGAATTTCCAATAATCGACAGCTGTTTGTGTGGTAAAAACCTATGAATAAAAAATAAAATAATTTAATAAAATTCAGAATGTTATCGGATTTCGAAAGGAACTTCAAACTTGTAAAAGTTCCAATTTCAAATAAATAATTTATCACACGACACGAGATACAAAAACTTATAGTTTTCATTTTATATGAAAGTATATTCATCGTATCGAATTTCTTCGGTTCCATCGAAAAAGTTCTAATTTCAATGTGTCACATTCTGAATAAAAACAATTCAAATCTGAAAAATCGATAAAATACGTAAAAACGATTTTAAAATAATGTTTGAATGGATAAAAAATTCAAGGGCAAACATATTAAAAGTCGGCGAAAAAATTGTTATTTTTTTTAATGAATCAATGACACCGGAGTCAAGTTAAAGTTTTATTTAGATATAGAATGGCTTAAGATGCGTTAAGAATAATAATCAACGAAATGTTTTCGGCTCTTTGGCAAAGTTCATCAGATGTATGTATCGGCCAAAAATCTCTTGAACGTTTGAGTGCTTTCATATATTCTTTATCTTTCGGATGGCAAATGTTTACCTTAAAAAAAGACCAAATATGGCGATAAGCAACAGTGTTCGTTGGTTATTTGGAGTCAAACAAAATACAAACTTGTTTATGTTTCCATTCGAAACATAAGCGAATGAAAGAAAAAAAACTTGTTTATCATCGGCCTAACGAATAAAAAGTGTTAACAGAATACACATATGTATACATGTATATGTGATGCAGCATTCTTGTCGAACCGATTGCATTTCTGTGTTCTTTTGCATTAGATAATAGTGACTAAGTGACCAGTGATCATTTACATGGTTGGTCTTGTTGTATAACTTGATACAACTTGGCCGGTGTACAAGGGCAAGAGAATGAGTAAATAACGAAAAATGCATTCCGGATGAGGTTTTTCAATTCACTTTGATGATATGACGTTACCAATTTCATTAACCACCTACTCGGTTGAATGTGTGCGCCTCTGGCCCGTTCGTGCATCTCAAAAACACTTAATATACTCGAAGCTCGAAGAAAGATAGAATAGGGAACGAACAAGCACATAAGAATGTTCACAAATAAACCAGTATTTCTGGAAAGTTCTGTTCTGCTTCTTTGTTCATTTCTTTTTTAACTCGCTTACTCTCTTTCAACATTGTTATTGAAGATGTTACGCTTTTTATGCAATTCCTTCTTCTCTTTTTTCGTGTGTGCACAAATTCAAACTCTTAAGATGCTCTTTTCATTGCCAGTTACAGGTTTGCACGCGCTTATTACCACAGCACAACGACTCAACATACTTTAGTGAGCATGCGTTATTATGGCGAACGAATTTTTTTTTAGATAACAAGTGGTTGACCGAATCTCATATAAATAGCCAACGATACCTTAATGCTTTTCACCAAAAATAAAGAGAAGCGTGTGCCTGTGCATTCGAAAAATAAACGAAAAATGAAGACCGAATTGAAGCGCAAGCTTTAAAATCGTATGCTATTTTTGTCCCATATCGAAGTTAGATTGTACTCGATTTAAGGCGAGCAATTCTTAAAGTTGTTACTTTGTTATCTATCTACTTCAAAACAAGACAATTGCGTTCTTCTGAATTGAAATGTTTAATTTATCTAACCGCAACAGTGCGTCAACATAAAATGACCACATCGATTTCTAATATTCTCTTATTTATTTTTCTCGTCGAAATGCACCATCGTTTCATACGACGTTAGAATTCTTAGAATTTTTCCATCCAAAGAATGCATGAACGTAGTATGATTTTTATTGCTTATTTTACGCGCTTAGACGAATCGATTTAACTCTGGTGCCCTAGTTCAAGCTTCGATTCTATTTACTTTGAATCATATTTCATGATGGTTTCGTGTCAAATAAATAAGTGGATATTGATCGCAAGAGAAATTCGCTTAAAGTGCTTAAATGGCACTAATTTTTAAAATTTTATTCTAAATGTCTTGGGGCCAATTTAAATGGCGTAAAAACCGATCAGGTTTTCATGTGTTTTGGTATATTTAATCAACGTTTGTCCTGCATACATGGGCATCAAATAAAGCAGACTTTTGTAAGCGTAGCATGATGTTTGAAGAAATGCGATGAAACGTTTTGTTTGTTCGTGATCTGCAAATCACAATTTCGCTGAATACCATCGGTGCGGCGGCTGCTGTTGCTCCGGATTTTATTTTCTTCTTCCTTTCTTTCTTTCTCTCTTCGTCGTCTTTTATGATGATATTCATATATTTCGTGAAGAGTTATTTATTTCTATGTTTCTTTTGGGCCATCGCTTCTTAGTATGTCGATTCTGCCATTGGTAACATGTCATTATTGGCTTTAAACATTGTCTCTTCATCACTCACACGTGCTTGTGCATGCACACACTTTGCATTGCGCGCACATATAGACATAATGTAAAATGAAATGGGCAGCACGGTTGCGCGAAAGAGCGCGTTCACGCGCACGCGTCCATCGATACACAGACGACGGCCCTGCGTACATTATTTACCAAACTAAACAAAAAGAACTAACGGGTCATTGGCTCATAAGTGGCGACAATATAAAGAGGACGTATTCTGGTCGAAATCAAATCAGTTTGAATATTGTGTTTAGAGAATCAAGTTCGACGTTGTGCTAGGCGAAAACTGAGCTCGATATTGGACGCCTAACGAACGAAAGCGGATTCGAATATTTTGTGAACATTTCATTTTTCGGTTAAACGTTTTTTTGTAAATCTGTTTTATTTTTTTTTTATTTTTTGAAATTTCATTTTAACCAAATTCAATATGACACGCAATACTTTGTGCGCTCTTTATTTATTGATCGCAATCAGTGCGGTTCATTCAGCTTCATATTATCGTTTCGGGCGTGAAGTAGTAGTACCTTCAATTGAAATGGAAGTCAAAGAAATGGTCTCTGAGTATAAAAAAGATGAACCAATTGTTGAAGAAATTGTAGCCATGGTGGCCGAACCAGAAAATGTTGCAGAAATGGTTAAAAATATTCCAATTGTTGAAAGTATGTTGCCAGTCGTTGAAACTGTTGAAAATAATGTCGTTGCTGATGGCGTTGGCGAGAAAGTGGTTGCCGAATTTGTAAGTGATGAAGGTCGTGCAAAACAAAATCCAGTACTTCGTTTCGATGCTTTGGAAGTTATTCAACCCGGTGGTGGAAAATCCGAAAAAGTTACAACCGTTGCTGAAACCGTAAAAAATGCTGCCGTTGAAGCAATTGAAAAGCAAAATCAAGAAGTCGCCGCCGAAAGCGTGAAAATTGAAGAGCCAATTCCAGAGAAAAAAGACGAACAAGTTGTTGCTGCAGCTGTTGTTAAATCAGTGCCAAATGTTGAACCTGTCGTTCAAAGTGTTGATGTTGCGGTAAAATCATCAGAATCAGTGGCTGTCGTTAAAGATGAAAGTGTTGTATTGCCTGCTGTTGAAGTTGAAAAAGTTGTTGAAAAAGAATCGGTACGTTCAGCTGATCCAGAGCCAGCAAAACCAGAAGAGCCAGCAAAACTTGAAGAGCCAGCTAAATCAGAAGAGCCAGCTAAATCAGAAGAGCCAGCTAAAGAAGAAAAAGCCAAGCCAGAAGAGCCAGCTAAAGTAGAGAAAGCCGAACAACCACAATCAACTGAACCATCAGTGCTGAAACAAAGTCAAGGCCCACTTGATCAAATAACAAACGCAATTAATTCAATTGCAACAAACTTTCAAAATGCTGGATCAAACTTTCAAACTACTCTAACCAATCTCTTCCCAAATAGTGAGTATTTTATATGAATATTCAAATTTTTTTTTAAAAAAATGAAACGTTTTTATTTGTTCAAACGGAATCATTTTGAAAATAATTTTGATCGAGAAGATAATTATAATGATTTATTTTCTCAGATCCATTCGCAAATCGGCCACAATCAGATGCAACATCATCCGAAGACGCTACTCTCAATACTGCCGAACAAGCTCCATCCACTGCTGCTGCTGTCATCCAATCGGCGGAACCAGCCAGCACCACAGCATCACCAAACATTTTACAAAATATACAACAAGCCATCACACAATTTACCAACAACATTATTCCAGCAAATCTTCGACCAACTACCGCACCATCAGCCGCAGCTCCAGAAGTACCAATCGTTGTGGGTGGAACACGCGTTGGCGAAGAAGCAGTTCAGGTTGTTGAACATATCGATGTTGTCAATGACAAAGTTGATTTGGGAAAGAAAGCACAATAAATGTGCTTACCTCTTGAAATCACAACAAAATTCAAACACACTAAACAAATACGCTCAAAATAATAAATATGAACTAGATAGGATTCAGGTACAAGCAAAATTTATTTGATACAAATAATATTTCATAGACTATTGACCTATAATGACGTATAAATGTACCGTTTATTGACCGTTTTAGATACTCATATATTTCTTATATTAAAGCGTATATATTTAAAAACAACAGCGATAAAAACGAAAAAAAAAAACAATAATCATGACAACGACAACAAGGGAACAAATTTGAACCACACATCAAAAATCATTAAATTTAGAAAGACACCACAGTAGTCGCGCACATTATCAACGTCCGTAGATGTTAAGCCTTAAATCAGTATCAATTTAAAATTTAAATTTTAATTTTAGTAACTTATTATCACCGATGATGAATCTTGTGTTAGACAAATAAATAAATGTAACGCACAAAGTGAAATAAAGAGAACACAATTTACATAATATGCAAATGAGTTTATTGCACAGCCCAATCTGGTTCGAGTCAAATCGAACCATTATTTGTCAGCAAAACTTATTGAGAATAAATCTAAAATTGAGAAAACTTATGAAATAAAATGAAATTTGCCATTTTTGGTTTCAGCCACAAAAAATGAATGCTGATTTCTCATCAAAAATCAATTTCTCTCGTTTACAAAAAGTCACAATTTCCGTACCATATTAAATATATTCTAATTTTTCATTGAAAACAATATGTTTTATAGAAAGAAGGTGTCAGAATGCATTTTATTCAAATTTATTATTCATTTTCTTGGTATAAAAAAAGGACCTATAAAAATCACTATACTTTCATTTCATTTAGAATTAAATAGCTAAATTACATTTTTTATACAGTGTAAAACGTGCTGGAAAATTTTATCTTTGCTAGTTTCACCATTTAAAAGCATAAAATCGTCTTTGCTTTTGATTTCATTAAAGTGTTGTTCGTACATTGGCCATACGCACAATTCAAAATATCCACGTACATCGGGAGGCACATATGTTCGTTTAACACGTCGTTCATAGCATTTTTCATATGGTAAATGTATGTGAAATTTTAATTGACACAATCGATTTAGAATGCCATGATTAAATATTAAAAAACCTTCAATAATCATTATGTTAACGATTGCAATCGATTTCGTTTTCGAATAAAAAACGAATCGTTTTCCCAGCTCCGTGTATAAATCATTGCACATTTTTTGCATATTAAGCGCTCCCATCACATCATAATTTATGTGCGACAATTGTTCGATCCATTCATGATGCGGATCATCATCTGCATAAAAATAATTATCTTGATTCATAATTTTCACTGCGCCAATTTGAACACTATCACTTAGACAATGACCATTGGCTGGATCTTTAAAATAGCGATAAAGCGATTGTGATAGTGTGGTTTTTCCTCCACATGTGACGCCCGAAATTCCAATTATTAACCACGACATTATAATTTAAACGGATTTGTTGTAGTATTTTGTTCCACTTGTTTGCCGCACCTCAACTGTACAACTGATTGCCTTTCAATTTGTACATTACTGTTCAATGGGTCGATGTGTTGATTGAAGCGAATTTAGGGGCCAAGATGGTCATATGAATGTGATAAAACGTCCCGTGTGGTACACTGAAAATACGTAAACAACTGAAAAAAAGCAAAATCCAAATATTGCCGGCACTATGAACGCATATTGTATCGGTGGGAATAGCGAGTAAATCCAGTTATCTGAAATACGTAAGCATTTTATTTTTTATTGTACATTAGTAATTTTAACACATTTTGTTTACGATCTATTTGCAATTGAATGAAAAAATAAAAGAAACAATTTTTTTTACATATGACTCGGTCAATTTTGATGGCAACAAATTATATAACATCACGTTTTCTTTTTAATATGAGTATGTAATAAACATTTGAGAGGAAACTAATGCACGATTATCAGTAGTGCTGTATGTTTATTGACTTGCGTCAAGCAAAAAGGAACGAAATATGTAAAACAAGCGCAAACAAGTGAAGGACATGAACCACATTTCAAGTCATTCATTATTTACATATTTCATGCCATTTGGCATTTAAATTCAAACGATAAGAATTTGTTCGATTGTGTGTGTGTGTGTCCGCGCGTGTTTAACGCTGTTTCTTTAGTCAGTTACACATTTCTTTTGTCTCATTTTTTCATTCAAATTTCATAGTTAATACCTCTTTCAATCCTCATAAAAGGCAGTACGGCCACCCAAAAGAAGTAGTATAGGAATGCTGTTAGAGCAAATGTTAGAATGGTACTGCCAATCGTTGAATATGTTGCCATATGAAAATAATTGATGAAAATGCTTGCCTCCAACTGTATTGATGTGGTATTTCAAATCTAATCTGCGTTTGATTATGCTACAAAACAAATAAATTCGCTCTATGCTCAATGTTTGCTCCAATGCGATTTATTGTCGTCGTTATCATCGACGTTGTCGTTGACTTCGTTGCTCTTGATTAGCCGAATATATTGCTAACATGTCACTCACAAAATCAATTCATTTTCAAATATATCGCAATTTATTTACATCAACACAACAACTCAATTTATCTCTATATTTCCTTCTATTTTTTTTCTTTTTCTTTACAGTACGACCTAATTTCAATTGGAATGCACTAATCTCGCTTTTTTCTTGTTAAATTTACATTTAGAAAAAGAATCGCTAAAATGTACAAGAGATTCTGATGATTAAAATATAAAATCTTATAGCGAATTTTGTTTTCGTTCACAACATTTTTCTGTCCTCGTGTGGCTCGACGACTTAAACTGTCAAACCAGCTGTCACCACCAATGACAGATGTATGTTTATTGAATACAATTGAATGTTTGAAAAAAAAATGTACCGCCTATCACCAGAACGAACATTGTTTCAATTTAAAAACCATTTTGATCAATTCGAAAAGATATTAAATGAGAAACATCAACTTTATTAAAATGGTATATTTATTTGAATATGATAGTTTCATATGGAAATAGCATAATATATGAAAATAAATTTTTTTTAATAGGGAATACATAAGCAAATGTAGTGATGTTTTCTTGTGCAGGTAAAAAAAATGTTCGACGGCAACTTATTGTTTATCTTTTACATACAATGGAAATAGGAAACATTCTACCTGACATTTGAGATACAACAAACACCATATTAAGAATTTTACACAGAGAATTTTACAATTTGTTCTTATCCTTACTTTAAATGGTTGAAGAGAAAATGATGTTATTTCCTAAGAAATTCGGCAAACGAATCATAGGTTTGAGAAAAAACTTCGTCAAAAGATAATTCACCATTCAAACAAATCAAATTATTTTTGTTGGGCACTTCGTTGAGATATCGATGGTACATGGGCCAAATATAATGTTCGTAATACCATTCTGGTTTTGGATTGATGTGTTTAAAATTTCGTTTTAATCGACGCTCGAGGCCAACATTATACGACAGATATAAATGAATACGCAATTGACAATGTTGATTAATTCGTTCATCATTGAAAATAAGAAAACCTTCGATTATCAGAATGTTGATTTGCTTTCTTTCCTCTTTGATGGATTCACTTATTGTTGAAATGTCGTTAAATTCGTCAGCGACTTTTAAGTTTTGAACCGTTGTACACACATCGGCCGCAAATTTATCCATATCAAGAGCCGATAATACTTCACGATTGATAAAATTAATTTCGGGTATCCATTTGTGGTGTGGACTATCGCGAGCGTAAAAATATTTATCTTGATGAATTAACAACACTTTGTTGATGTGAACACCGTCAAATACATCTGCATTTTTTGGATCACTTAAATATTGATGTAATCTTGTGGCTACGGTCGTTTTTCCTGCACCAGTTATTATCCCAATAACAACCAGAAATTCCAAAATTATAAAAATTGAATCAAATAATTTACTTTATTAATTTACCTGCACCAGTTAAACCAGAAATTCCAATAACAAATATCATTTCAATTATGAAAATAGAATCAAAATCCGAAACACAAGCAAGAAACTAAACAGAACGACGGCACTCAACCGGTTGTGTCAGTATGTGAACTACAGTGTTCCTACACTGATTTATCAGTTGTATAGTTTATTTTTTTACTGAAGCGCTTCTTGCGCACTTGATAAGATGAATTCCACTGCAGAAGCTTATAGACAACAAAAACAGAAACAGAGGCTGAATAACTATTTGAACACACAGATGGCACTCGCTCAACAAAATCTATTTTTGACGCGTTTAAAATTCAAATTTTGAATTCAACTTTTTTGAAATAAGAACTGGACACTGATCATTTTCGAACGCATATTTTTTTTTTTGTTCTTAAGACACATCAATAAATTCCTTGGAAGCGAAACGATTTTCTTTTATTTTAAACCAATATAAATGTCACCAAATTATTAAGAAGATTGTTTGAAAGCAAATTTTTTGTAAAAAATATCATAAATTATTCTCCAAAAAAAAAAAAACACTTTGAAAATTCAGTTATCTATCGAAGTTTCTGGCTTGAATGCAGTCGTTTTCCATTGTTTGTTTTCCAATAATTAGTCATTTATAGCTAGTGTGACAATTTCTTATGCTAGCGAGATAAAACAAACCGCTGGCCGTAAAAGTGGCACATATGAATGAAATGACTTGAAATTCATTTCTTCTTCAAACTTTGATCGGAAATTTTCTGTTTGATCTCTCTGAGTTTCTGTGTTCGATCGGTTGAATGTAATCAGGCGGCGACAAGCGTCAGTAATCAATATCCACACGAAAATATGTATTACTCATTAAAAGTAATTTTCCTGAATGGAACGATGTAGAGATGACGCGCAAAAGATGTGCTCGTCAGTGAGATTGATCAGAATGGCAGCACTTATCGTCTGCATTGCGTGATTGGCCGAAGTGGCATCACATCTCACATTTTCGACGAACGAAAGAGATCACTAACGAACCAAAAATGTATAATAATAAATAAATATAAATAAATTATTTTTAATATAAATAATTACCTGCGTGACGTCGGCCCCCCACCCCTTTACTTTTTATTTCTGAGTTTACGTTTTGATAGTTTGGAATGTGTGCTTACCAAATATACCAATTTTAAAGTTCTTGCTATGAACCTGAGCTGGCACAAATTCAGTTGAACTCAACTTTTTGTCAAAAATGAAAATTTTGTATGGCGACCTTCTCTAAATATGCATGAAATCGTGAACAAAGCACAGTTCTATATTCCTCGGAATTTGTGCTGACCGAATATACCATTTTCAGAATTTGTGCCATTAACCCAAACTGGCACAAATTCATCAAAAATCGATTTTTGTCAAAAATGAACTTTTTGTATGACAACTACTTTTAAACGTGCATAAAGTTGTGCGCAAACCACATTTATTTACTCCTCGGAATTTGTGCTCACAAAATATATCATTTTTACAATTCTCACTATCAACCCGAGCTGGCACAAATTCAGCAAAAATCGACCTTTTGTCAAAAATGAACTTTTTGTACGGTGACTACCTCTGAACGTGAATGGAAACGTGAACAAACCACATTTATTTACTCCACGGAATTTGTGCTCATCGAATGTATCATTTTTACAGTCCTTACTTTCGTTCTGAGCTGGCACAAATTCGACAAAAATCAATTTTTCGAAAAAATGGAAATTTTGTATGCTGACTTTTTCTAAACGTGAATAGAATCGTGAACAAAATACATTTGTTTACTCCACGGAATTTGTGCTCACCGAATGTATGATTTTTACAGTCCATACTTTCATCCTGAGCTGGCACAAATTCGTCAAAAATCTATTTTACGCAAAAATGAAAATTTTGTATGGGTAATTTTTTTAAACGGGATTTTTTTGGGGAAATTTTTGCACAGGGATTTAGTGCTATATTTGTGCTCACAAAAAATATATACTTTTGTATACATTGGCCCAATAGGTTCGGAGCACAAATTGTATATCAGAACATTTCCGTCGAATTGATAAAAAGAACCGTAATTTATCAATTCGATGCCGTGCACAACAAGTTGGTCTTTGTCCGGAATTTTACGAAAAGATCTTGGTCTGAAGGCCTACGAGTATAAAGTCCAGTTGGTACAAGAACTGATGTGGCATAACCATCCAACGCGCCGCACATTCGTCGGTTGGGCCCTACAGAAGCTCCAAAATGATACGGAAATATACCGAAAAATCATCTTTTTCGACGAAGCTCACTTTTGGTTAAATTACTGGCCTGTGTAAAACGTAGCTGTGGAGACCGTTACCCAAAATTATCTTTAAAACAAAATTGCCATTATCATATCAACCAAATAAAGTCGATTTCATGATTAAATTAAAACTGGTTTGTGATTTATTTTAAGTTTAATATCTATCAGACGAAAAAAACACCCTTTACTGACTTCATTCATATGAATCTGATTTTTTTAGGATAATACAATTTAAGGCCCATAAATTTGATAGTCACATGAGTCGTCCGAATTCATTGAAATATGACTGCAGAATTTCGAGTACAGACTTAGAAGAATCGCGAAAGAAAAAAATGTCAGAAATTGAAGAAAAAAAACAATTGCACTTGATAAAGCGCGATAAAGCGTATCTCTTTTTTCAGTTTATATTCGTCTTGTGATATTTACATAAGAATCTATCTTTTTCGATCTTTTTCATCATTAGCAATTTAGTTAATACACGAAGCACTACAGCAAATACTTACATTTTATGAATGAAAAAAATTGAACGTATAAAATATACAATTTGCACAAAAAGTGTGATCAAAATGAATATTAATTCAATTAAAGTTGAACGGAACATGGATGTATTTGCAATTGTCACCAGTTTTTGTTTACACACAAGTTACTCAAGATTAGTATCACATACATTTTTGTAAGATATTTTCTATGAATAGCAGCGTGCATGCGTTGATCACAATGATGATTGATTGATAAGTGTCTGTTTGCTTGGGCTTTATCAGTTAAAAGATCTCAAGTAAACATTTCTTCCAGCATTTATGTCGCTTAAGACCTTTACTTTTGATTATACACTGTCTTTTTATCACTCATCTTCAACGAAATTTCACAGGGTCACACACGATTGTTCAAAATGAAAACTTCATTTCGGAAACATAAGCTTCACTAGCTACACGATGTGTTGTTGTGTTGTGACTGAACATTATAGTATAATATTATCGTAAAGATTGTTTTAATTTTCTCGTTAATTGAAAACGTGTCGAACGGCGATGCCATGGACTTTGTTTTTTTTCTTTGCTACATGATAAAATTGACAAACAATACAACTGTTTTGTTTTTCACTCTTTTCGTCATTACATGATTCAAAACATTGTTTATCACCCTATGACTTAACTATGCCCAGAAATAAAGCAATAAAAGTTAATTTGATAAACAGTTAATACGGCAAACTCAACGGTTGTGTTTGTTTATTTCATTGTGTCGTGTTCACGGTGTTCTTGCTTCATTACACTCTTGTGCGCTATTGCCTTAACATACTTGAGAACAATCGAATTTTGTTGTTTGTACACACATTTGTTTTTCATTTCATTTTCAGTTGAAGATCTGTATCGCACGAAAACCAAACGGAGAAAAGCATTATTTTTTTAAAAAAGTATTTTGGTGCTGCACATTCGATTTAAAGTTTAAAACGTTTCTTTTTTTGTCTATTGTGAATATTCATCGATTTTATTTGAATAAAAATCCAAAATTACAATCAGTTCGCAAAAGAGTCACGATTTTAAGAAAAAAATGGAACAAAATAACTCAGGAGTTGAATTAACCGCTTTTGCATCGTTGACAACTGATGTCAAGTATAATGTTGATCCAAATCGTGAAATAACCGATTCCGAACAAGGAATTCTAAAGCCGGGCTCAAAAATTCGTCCACAAGTCAGTGAAGAAGAAGCTGTTCGCTTGGCCGAACGTCTTTATGGCATTTCAACGCGAGACATATCAGAATTAGTGTCATATGATGATAAAAATTTTCTCATTCATGTTGATACGTGAGTAGTTTTTCTATACATATAATACCCGAGCAACATTCCCCCCCCCCCCCCCATTTTTACGTTACTTCTATATAACAATCGGGTTGTTCTTTGTGTGTTAAGACAACGTTAATTTAACTGAATTTCTCTTCAAATTTTATAAATATGTCTTAAATTTGTTTCTAAGTCAAAAGGTTATCTGTAACTTCTAAGTCAAAAGGTTATCTTGTATTCGAGTTGTTTTAGTTTTCGATTTTTTTTCTTTAGTTTTCGATTCTGAAATGGCAATGTTATGCGAAATTATTATGCAAATTTGCGTTTGTCTTTCCAGCAAATTTCCCAACGTAGAATGTTAATAAAAAATTGACGCGCCTTTAAAAATTTTCATATTAATGGAAAATGTGGAAAATCGAAAAAAATTTCAAAATTAATTTACAACAAAAATTAACAACCAAAACCTATAGATAAATATTTGTTTATGTTTTTCTCGTTATCAAAATTGAATTAAAAAAAAATGAAGAAAATTGAAAGTTATGTCTTCCTCAAAAGCACATGATCTTGTTACAAATCGGAGAAGTTGAGGGGAAAATGTAGCTCGGATATTTTTCCATTAAAATTTTGTTTTCGATTTCCACATCCAATCTTTGAACTATCGATCTTAATGAAACTAAAACGAAAAATTCCACCAAAAATGCAGGAATATCAAGAATCCCATCATACCAAATGCATGGCCGCATGGTTACGTCTTGAAAATTATCAATTCGTTGGATACAAAGAAGACAACATTTTTTGATGGTCAAACGCAATTGATATTATTTTTGCGTCAACAAGGTATCGAATGCCCAAAACCCGTGATGAATATTTTCGGAAAGTATAATTCAATTGAGAAAATTGGTGAATCTACGCATTTGGTGCGATTGTTAGAATACATTCCTGGCCGGATATTCAATAATGTGCTTAAAACGAAGCATCTATTTTATCAAGTTGGTGAATTTGTGGCCAAAATTGATTCGGCCTTGAAGCGATTCCAGCACGATGCCTATGATAATCACAAATCATTGTGGATGCTTGATTCGGTGCCGCAATTGTCAAAATTTATCTACGCTCTGAACGACACAAAAAAGCAAGCCTTAGTAGAGGAGATATTGAAGGAGTTCAATGAACAAATTTTGTCGCATTCAGCCGACTTTGCAAAAGGTGTTATTCACGGTGATTGTAATGAACACAATATCGTCGTAACAAAAACATCACCAGATGCGGACGAGTTTCGTGTAACTGGAATCATTGATTTTGGCGACACTTGCTATTCGTTCTATGTATTTGAACTGGCAATTACAATTGCTTATATGTTATTACAATCGTGTGAACTTGAAACGGCTGGCTTTGTTATTGCTGGCTATCAAGAATTACGACCAATTCCAACCAATGAACGTAACGTTCTAAAGGTATGAATAATGACGTGAAAATGTACAAAAGTTTTTCTAATTTCAATTGAATTTAAACAGATTTGCGTTGCGGCTCGACTGTGCCAAAGTCTTGTATTGGGCGCCTATACACACACACTTGATCCAGAAAATGATTATTTATTATCAACTCAGGATAATGGCTGGAAGATGCTATCGATGATTTGGGAAAAGCCCAAAAATGAACTCGACGAATTATGGTTCACCACGGCTGATGAATATTTGAAGCAAAGCGAAAAACGTTAAATTCAATGAATTTGAAAAATTCACAAATTTAAACATAGTATAGTTTCATCGTGCAGCAATAAAATTTACAAATGTTCCTTAATAACAATCGAACGGTGTTAATAGATTTAACTATAATAGATCAATACGTTCAAAATGAATTTCTATTGATTCAAAATGTCTTTTTTGCTTTCGTTAAGTATTAATGTGTTAAAAATTCAAATATAAATCACATAAGACAATTGTTAATGGTTTTTTTTTTGACAACATTTTTATTCATTTTATTTTCATTCAATTTTATTTCTTGTTTTTCATAAATACATATAACTACTTTGGTAAGTGTGGAGCAAAAGAATTATGGTCCGGTGTCAAACTGTTTATTTCTTTAAAAAAAAATTTGTTTTCTTGTTTTCTGATTGCAAAGAAGAGAATATAAAATGAAATTCCATTATTGAAATTAAATTTGCGAACACTTAGATAGGGCTTCAGAATGCAAAAAACTGAGATCGTTTTCTTATTATTGATTTCAATGAATTTCCTTTCTTTCTTCATTATTTTGTATTTTCATTTTGGTTGCCGTCATACATATTGCCGGTGTCTTGCATATTTTATTCCATCTCATCTTAATAAAAATCTGTTTGGTGATTTGAATATGCTTAAAATGTAGATTAGAATTTCATTTGGTAGAATTTTGCGTTATTTTTCTTCTTTTTTTTTGTATTTTTTTCATTGTATGCATTTATTTTCATTTAAAGTGAGTTAAACGTGAGCAAAGACAAGGTGTTCAATTGATTCGCATTGATGCGAGTGCATTGATTTCGAATTGAAAATTGCAGAAAATGATGTAAAACCAAGCTCGGCTCAAATGATGCCGCACGAATCATTGAACAATCCCAATGCTTAAATGAATGATATGCACACAAACGACTCTAGCTCTTTCTCTCCCAAGTGCCGATATTAATTTGTTTATCTCTTTGGATTTAGGATTTTCATTTCACAACAAATTATTATGAATATTTTTTTGGTTTTGTCTTTGTATTTTTGCAAATGGTATAATTTACCTCACTCAGTGAATTAATGATTTGTCTATTATTTGTATTTCACGCGATCTATAACGTGTATTCTGTTGTTGTTGTTTTTTTTTATTTGGTTCGCATTGGATCCATGTTGATTGTATTTGCCTGGATAGTTGACATTATCTATTCAAATAGAATTTCTTTGAAATACACTCGATAATCTTATATTTAGTTGAGTGGGGATTTTCTCTTTATTTTCACTTGGATTTTGAATTTTTCATTTCTTTTCATTTCAAAACGTTCAAAATCAAGCCGAAAAAAAAGAATAAATAAGCGAACCAATTCACAAATGCATAACAGTGACAACAAATTTAAATATTGATTTAGAAACCATTCATGAAAATTCCGTTTTCGTGTAAAAGCGCGTTTCATGCATTTGTGAATTGATTGCTGGGCGTATTGATGATTTGAATAAGAGATACTCCACACACATACACATAAAATCTGTCCCGTTCAATTCTCGGTGATTGGCGCGCTTCTCTTCTCTCTTTTTCAAGCATTTTTTTTTTGTTGTTGTTATTTTTGTTTATAATTTTCACACTTCTTTCATCTCAAGTAAATGTGAATGCAATACGATTATAATATTACTCCTACTGATTGATTTCAAAACTTAAAGTCTATCAGCAGTGGCAGAGGAATTTAAAACTTATTGACTTTTGGCAATTTAATTCGTCGAAATGAAAATTCCGAAATTCAATGGATGTATTATGGATGCAGTTTTACCATTCAAATTTCATTATTCCAATCGATCAAAATTCAATGCGTTTCTTATTTCATTGATGCACTTGATTTTTGAATCGGTTTTCTTTTTGTTAATTTTTGTTTTTTCAGAAATTTCATTTTGTTTTTTTTTTTTCGTTCAGTTTGAAATTCCTCTGCCCCACATATGTTGACTTAATGAAAAATATTCACGCACACATAAAAATCAAGTCTAGAACATTAAAGTAGATAAATATTTGATCCAAATCCCTATGCACTTGAATGGATACTGAATTAGCCATTTTTTGGGGGGGGATTACATAACAATGTGAGTACCATATTTTAATGCCTCTCTCACACTTCTGTGAATCAATGACGTTACTTTCTAATAAAAATCGTGTCCATTTTCAAAATTCGTATTTCAACAGTTTAACATTGTGGAATTTTCCACCGGAAAAATTCAGAACGTCGAATAAGAATTGGAAACAGGTGAAAGTGAACAATTTCAGCGAGAATTCACTCGTTAGAAGTATTAACGAACAATGGCGCTTGATTAAGTATATTATTTAATTTAAATTTCTTTGGAGATTGTTATTTTTCTTTTTGCACGTATGATGGTGGTATTTTGGTAGTTGACTTTTTTTGTTGTTGCTTTGTTTCCTTTCTATTTGGGTCAGTACATAGAGAAATTGGTATGTTTGTGTATCTAGTAAAACATTTATGTACTTAAATTTTTAGTAATTTTTTTTTTGTTTTATATACTATATAGTATATACTATAAGTATAAAGAGGAATGAATAAATTATTTTCAATTTTTGAAAGATTAAATGCATTTGTCTTGGAGACTCGTCTTTACAAGGAAAATTTTGTGGATAGAAAAATATGCTCCTTTTTTTAATAATTAAAAGCGGATAAAAATGTTAAGTCAATCATTATCTAATCTTTCAAATGTGTTGAAAATAACTTATTCGACATTGAAATTCCTCTGAGCCATTGCATTTGCAATCGATTTTTTCTACCATCACGTGTGTGATGAATGGTGAAAAAACGATTTCAAATGATAAGTCTGATGCAGTTTTGCTTATTTGATCAGACGATGTTAAGATTATATGCATAATTGCTGCTTCTTTTTTTAAAAATATGCCGCATGTTTAATAAAAGAAATTAATTCATTTGCATTTTTGTTTTGCCGTTTTTTTCTATATTCCAAAATGAACATTTTCCAGTGACAATGTTTGTCTGCACCGCTCTTTTTTTTCTCGTCGGACTGGTATTGTTTTTTCTTGATTGTTTTTATCTCAACACCAACGCGTTGCGTCGCCCACGGGATTTGGCAAGTTTGAATGTTTATTGTTGAGATTGAAAACATCGATTTAAAACAGTTCTTCATTTTTGAATTCATTCATTTGGTTTCCAACATTCTATGACTTGAATGAAGACACAACATTCTTCATGTTTCATTACATTTTTCGTATTCGAGCGACAACAGAAAGCGATCATTTTTCTGTTCATCGACAATACACACATACACAATACATTTGAGAGAGAGTTTTGGTGCCATGCATGACGTGCCACTCTCAAACGTATGTTATGTTTATATCAAACTCATCTTTTGGGAGTGAAATGTTGCATAAATTTACTTGATTTGTAAACAATAAACATCGCTTTCTACAAGTGTATATACACTGAAAATAGTCCAAAGATAAATATTTTGTTATTCAATTGTCGACACAAAATTCTTATCTTCGTCCATTTATCAGTTGTAAATTTTGCCAAATGTTCAAATGTCTCTAATTGGCTTTCGTCATCAACATGTTCTTGTTTTCATTTCATTTTTTTGTTGTTGTTTGTTTCATTTTCTTCGTCAATTAGTAACAAGGTAACAACAACCTTTCAAGTATTTCTTTTAATATGCATTTATATAAATTATAATAATTCAGATTTATCTTATCAACTGAAGTGTGTATTGTGTGCTGAATTGTGTTTTTTTTAATCATCATTTTTGATGTGCAAAAGCAAAAATTATAATAAATTATTTCGAAAATACTACTTTGGTTTTAACTAACGAGAACATAATAAATACAATTTTTACGCTGTGATTTAAATACAAATTAACGACAATTGATCCAAACATTTTAGTTAACATTTTCTGATCTATTTAAGGGCGAAAACAAGATATATAAACTAAATTTCGACTTGCGAAAAAAAAATATGTAGAACAGAAAAAAAAACTATTTATATGGTGGGGTTGTTCTATTGTTGATGTTGATTGAAAGCACGGAAATCGAAAGTAATATAAAATTTAACTAGTGAGCACAATTGTTTTGAATTTACTAAGGTTTTCCTATGCTTTAAAGTCTTTCAAAATATATCAAATGAATGACAACTTTTGGTTGTTTCACTCTTTTCTTTTTCTTGCGAATTAATTAAATTAGATGCAGGGATTGTTCCTCTGAGGAGGACGAACGGTTATCCTCCTCGCCGTTCCTCCCCCGCAGGAGAACAATCCCTGATTAGATGTATGGCCTCAATAAATCAAATTAAGGGATAATTGAGGTGTAAATGTCTGAATTTAGTTCGATTTTCCATTGCTCAGTATTGATTTTGGTTGTTGATCTCGTGGCCGGTTTACATTATCCAAACCAAGTTCACTGAGCGCCTTTAATGCCGCCAATGCTGCATTATTTTTCGATACCTCCAAACTGCTGCCCGAACCATGGAACATTTGCGGCGGATCTGTGTTCAGTGATGCAAGCGTTAAATAATCCTTATGATTACCCCGTGGAAAATCGTCAAATTGAACCTGAAACATTTTTGTATTTTTTAGATTAATTGTAATCGTACAAATATTCCGTACACTCATGCCGAAACGTGTGAAATTCAAAATGAATACGATAAAAAAAATGCCTTCGGCTCTACCTCAAATTTGAGTAAATCGGCCAAGTAGAGTAATTGATCGGTGGCACGGATACCGCCATGTGATGAATTGGTTTTTGTTTCTTCAATATTATTATTGTTCGGTTCGATTTTTGATGGTGATATTTCAATTGTTGATTTTGTATCTTCGGTGGGTTTCTTCTTGATCGGTGAATTTTGATTAATGATAGCCTCAGCTGTTGGTGACGTTCCTGCATCGAGTAATTCTTTGGCAATTGTTGCTGTTGTTGTGTAATTAATTCCTGGTTGAGTTGAATTTTTGGCTTCTGCAATATAAATGTTTGTTTCATTTATTGTCACATAAATATTATAAAAATAAAATGAAAAATGTATATCGGCGTTACTTACTTCGATTATTTTCGGGACTTTTCATTAATAAAATACCTGGAACTAGTTGTCGGCCAGCTGCACCACCAACCGATTGTCCAATAATATTTTCGCTGTGCACTCTTGCCTCGGAGAATGTCACTTTTCTGCTTGCATTTTGACTGTTTGCATTTTGGCTAGTTATTACATCAGAATTATCAAATTCATTGTATCCCAATTGGATGAGCATATTTTTGGCGGCTTCACGTTTTGCTAATTTTTTATTACTACTAGTACCGCGAGCCGTTAAGCCAGCGTAACTGATTTCCACAACAAATTGTTTACGACGATTTGCTCCACGCTCTTCGACCACATTGAACAGTGGTTCGGGCTGTTGTGTGGTTTGTTGTATATGAAGTAACGTTTGAACTGCATTATTAACTCGTTCATTGTCATTGGTTGTGGTTTCAGTGGCCGATGTGCTCGTATTATTGACTTCTTTGACTTGTTGGCTACCTTTTCGTCGAGCATTTGTTTGTTGCACTTGTTGACGACTATTTGCAGATGCAATTCGTTTGCCTGCAAAGTTTTTACGACGACTTCCTTGCATTTCACTAGCACTACGAAGTGGTGGTAATTTCTTTAATTCATTGAGCATAATTTCGGCTGCATGTTTTTTGGCCACCTTCTTTGAATTGCCATTGCCAGTTGTCTAGATTAAAGAAAATTGATAACGTATAACATTTACATGCACAACTTGCACAGAATAGAAAACGCTACCGCCGTAGTATTATCATATTAACAGTTGCTATTTGTACATATTTTAATTTTGTGACGACATTACTTGCGTTTTCTATTCTCTGTTAACTTATATTGTAATATTGAAAACATACCTCCATTTCGCCCACCGAGCACTTAATGACAAAATGTTTCATGTGAGCCGGTCCCGTTTCACTTTCCACAACAAAACGTATGGGAAGATCACGTTTCTGTGCAATTTCCTGTACTACTGATATTGCTGATTTGCTACGATCGACGGCATTTTCACTTGTTACATCTCCATTAATATGTACTACTTTGCCAGACGCTTCAAAATCATTTGAAACTGTCGATTGTGAGTCTTTAGATGGTTCATCTTGTAGTTCAATCAAAGCTCTATTTATTTAAAAACAAACCATGTAAATTACCAAGTAATCTTACTGAATATGGATTTCAAACTTACTTTGATGCAGCGTCATGTTTTGCCGATTGCAGCGTGAGACCAGTGCCGGAAAATTGCTTATCTCCAATTACAACAGTTGCTCGATACGGATCATCTTCGGTTGTATGATGAACAAATCGCAAAGGTCGATTATTATAGAATCGATCGTAAAACCGCGATTTCGTCCCTTTAGTCATTCGAGTGTTTCGCATCAAATTTGGTGTTTGTTCATTATATGACTTTGGATAAGTATATGAATAGTTTGTTGGAATGCCTCGTTTCATGGCCAAAGCGTTCAATTGAACGGTCGGTGTGACTGTATTGCCAGGACCTAAATTTCGAACAAAATTCATCGAATCAAATTCTGTACAAATCATTCACTCAATTAATTTAATTACCGTATTTTTGTTGATATCGAATAAGAAAGCCACGGGGTCGACTTGCTTGTTTATAGTTTGTTTTTTCAAGAGCGGCTGTGGCTGCTGATTGCTGTGCACCTTTAACTGTCTTGCTTTGTGCAGTGTATCGTTCGTCGCCCAATTCCAATACAACTGTATACAATTTATCATGTGATGGTCCTCTCTCATCGGTTATACGGTATTGATGCTTTAACTTTACCAATGCACACGCACAAAATTATCAAAAAAAATACGATCAAAATCATTTTATTGGATGCAGTAATGAGCGAGCAAAAGCACCCTTTTGGCATTCGAAATTTTCAATTTTACACTACATAAAAGTGAAAATGTCAACATTTTATGTGAAAAAAAGTGCACAGCCAAAAGAAGGGGTCTTTTCACAATTCACACCCCCATGAATCTCACACATTACTGTTTTGATGCTTTGCATTCAACTTACCTGATTGGTTCGAACCAATTCATTGATTAAACACATTGGAGACTTTGTTTTGCTTGACGTATTCGATGTGGCGATGACATTCACGGCACCCTGATCATCGACACATCCATGATTCAACTCCATAATGTCCATATTGAGGGCATTTTCACCATTCGATGTCATTTGAATCGATGATTTTTGGGTTGCGTGCGGTTGTTGATTGGATGATAAATTTGTGGATTCCATTGTCTTGTATCTCGATTGTGAATTTGATTGTTGAGGTTGAACGTTAATATTTGTGTCTAGTTTATTGTTGATATTTGTTTGTTGCTGTTGCTGTTGCGGTTGAGACACAGTTGTTGAAATATTTGCAACGTTATTTGGCCCGTGATTGCTATGCATATTATGGTTTCCGTTATGAAAATTCGGACGATTTTGTCCGTACGAACGTTGATGCGAATGATGATTGCCCGATCTAAATGCCAGAAAAACGCCAAAATCAATGATTTTATTCGGATTATCTCTTTGAATATTATTCGGTTCTAAGAGCACTGCTCTTTATTATTTCGAATTCAATTAAATGTGACATTAACATTTGATTAATGTGGTCACAAAACCATATTTTTTTTCATTTTTTCACATTGATGCGCCTCTGATCAACTCAACTCATTTTTTTTATCAAAGACTGTCTGTGTCTTTCTTCACTGTATTATACATTCCTTTATTTTCTACTTCCCAAAAAACAAAAACGATCCAATTTTGTCATTCGTTAGCAACCAACATATGGATTTAATATGAACACTAGATAGAGAAATTATTCTTGAAAAACACATTTAAAAACGATGCGATATGGTGCGACTTATGATTTTAAATTAGATTTTTGTTATGTACAAATTTTTGTCATAAATATTCCTAAATACGTATTTGTACAACAACAACAACACACACACACACGACCACTAAGTTTCAATTCATTTTTCTAATATTTATGAAATTGTTTGTTGAAATTGAGACCAGAATGCTTTATTCATTTGCACACTTTGGATTTGATTTTGCAAAAGTGTTGCTACAGTATGCAAAATCCATGAATAACTATTTTATAAAATATTTGAGTTTCTCTGGCCTTTCTCATTCAATTTTGAATCATTTATATGTGAATTACAAAATGAAACTAAACACACCTTTTGATTGTCTTTAATATTCACAATATTTTGACTAAATTGGATGATCTTATGACGGCGCGATAAATTGTTTGGCTTAACTAATCGATCCGAAACTAATCCGCGAGATGAACTTGGGATTATTTTTGGATGTGGACTTTTTTTGCGAGTGATCATTGACGTATCCGTAAATTAAATGATATTCCTGTTAAAGACACCATCGAATTGAGCTGCTTTGCGGTTTTCTTTTGACGAGAACACTTCGATTAATCGAGCACAAATAAAAATTGCCACGTTTAATTTAAAAAAAAAATCGAAAATTAACGAAATTGCAAGCGAACTTTTTGAGTGTTTTGCGTTAAGAGTATGCACAAAATATCACACACCGAAATGAAATGAAATGAGATGAGTTTGCGAGAGATGAAAGAATGGAATGAAAACGGTAGCTCAATTCAAGAAAAGAAGTGAGGAAAATACGAATGATCTCTGTGTGTGCATGTTCATACACGATGCACGGCTATTTCGGTGTATATGTGCATGAGTTTTCTTGTTTTGTGTCTTCTTTTGCATGTGTGAACAATGGAACCATAGACATTATGAATAGTGGACATAATCCTTTATGGAATGTTTTATTTAGTGGGATTGTATTCGTTGATTTAGCAACTTAATAGACACACAGCATACATTTTACGTTCGATCCGAATGGCAAAATAATTAAATGCGACTTCACATGTTTGAAATGTGCATGTCATTTAAATCGAATGAAAGCAAAACAAAACAAAACAAAAACCATCAAAAATTCATTTCAAACACTTGGCCGTACATTCGTAATTCGCCATTATTCAATTTGATGGATTTGCAAACCAAAAAATCGAAAAAAAATCGTCTCATCGACCAAATATTTGAAACGAATCATTCAACATTTTCAATGATCTTAACATCAATAAATGCATATAAGCTAATGTGACCAGACCATCATTCAATCTCGTTTCTTTTTTCATCCAATGTCGTTGCTCGGTCCAACTATGTGAAACGAAATTCGATTCTCATTCTCATAAAGTAAATTGCAGTTTTCCGGTGTGATCTGCAAGTCTTCTCATTGTCGTTCGACACCTGGAACAAAAGCCATGGAACAAAGTGAATAGGGAAATGCAAGGCGTCAAACGAAGTTTTCGCCAAATAATTACGAAATTCACCGCGCAGCCGATCGTCATCTATAAATCGTTATAGTTAGAAGAAAGAACGTGCACGAGAGAGAGAGAGAGAGAGAGAGAGAGACTTTTGATTCGGCAGTTAATCGTTACTTATGCACGCAGATCTTCTTCATTTCGCACTCTGTGCGTATTTTGGACAATGGAAATGTTTTGTGTTGCACATTGAGAAAATCCGAAAAGAGATGCTAAGTGTGTATGCTTTTTGTGCACATTCTTAAACGTGTGTGTTTTCTTTTATTTTCTTCTCTTTTTGCTCGATTGCTGTTTGGTGATTCTGTATTACTCTTTGCGCCTTGACGTTTACTTTATTCATTTTTCGTTTATTCTATTCAATCGAAGATGAACAACGCGAAAAAAAACTATAGAGGAGCTGAGGTTGTTGTTTTTTTTTCTACAGTGAGTTTTGCTTGTGCAATTCTTTGCGAATATATGGTTATTTATATGCAACGCTGTTGGTTATTTATGATGTTCATTTTATTTCCTTTGAACCAAACCAAATAAATTGAACGATGAAAATATTATGGTCAATCGCAATAAAAATAAAAGGAAGCCAGCTCTTGTTGCATTCATTCAACGCGGCATAACAACAATAAAAAGCAGACAAAACAATAGTCAACACAAAAGAAAGAATATCATAAATAGACAAAAAGAAGAGACAACCCTTCTTCACACATAACAAAATAATATAAGCGATGAAAAAATGGTCGATTCACCTCAACTCTGCACACATGAGCGCAATTACCTTAGTCCGGCCAGAAGTTCTATATATAGATATAGATACGCATATAAAAGCCGTAATCACAACCACAATCACAATCTAAAATGGTTTCGCGAACCAACTAAATCTAACTCTCGGTTCCGATGAGTGCGTGTGCGTGTGTGTGTGTGTGTTTTTTTGTGCGCGCTTGATCGCGCTCAAGACCTGGTTGGTACATGCGCAAATGGACAATTGTTTCATTCTTTTCGACGGTCAAACCCTTGTGCGCGAATTGTCATTCGCATTTAGACTTTTGCGCTTAAACCATGGTCCTTCTGTTCGCGTCAATAATTTTTTTTAAATGTTGTTGCTATTTTATTGATACTCGTATGTCTTTCTGCCGCCGAATGGTTTGCTCATCTTTTTCTTTGGCTCGATCATCATCATCATCAACGACAACAACAATAAGCACAACAACATCATCGTCATCATCAGATGGTCGAGGCTACCGGTAAAAGGGCGAAAAGTACACATTTTCTTTTGTTTGAATGGCATTTAAATATTTTTCGATGTTTTCATTTGTCGATCCAAGTACTTTCTAAATTCACGCATTTCTTCATTCCCGTAAACGATGGCCAATGCCATTTTATAGAAACTTCGTTTAAAATGCTACAATCTGAAGTGAATATTATATTTATCATTTAAAGGCATGAGGCTTGACCATATCATTTGGCCCAAAGTAAGCAGTTCTGATTAATTGGCCAATATAATACTTTTTCCATCACGCATTGTTTTGCTTACACAATCATTCAATTAAAAAGTGTTGATAAGATGTGTATGGCTAAAAGTGTTGACAAAAAAAAATTGAAAAACAAATAGCTTTCAATGCGTTTGCTCGCACAATGCGCCGTTGAATGCTTAATATCTCACTGTTTCACAATAGCGAGTAGGGTGAATTTCTTGATCACTATATAATGCGGTAGACTTCAAATGAGAGATGGATGCTGCGTGTGTGTTTGTGTGTATGTTACCGAAATCAAGGTAATTTTTCATATTTTTTTGTTGCGGGTAATTTTTCCATTATTATTACTATTATTTTTATTTTTGCCTTTTTATTATGCAAAAATTTTCATTATCCGTTCGCCTTACACTTTTACCCGCGAATCATTTCAATACCATTTTCACAATTTCTTTCTCTCTTACGTGCACACTATTTATTTATCTGTTTTCTCGACAATCAGTATATGGCCGTACGGATGAAGCCTTTTACTTTTGGCTGTTCTTCGATTTCAGGTATTTCGTTGAAATTTTTTTTTTCGTGTCCTATCTTTTCTCTATTTAGCTGTACGCGAGAGATGGCATGCACTCAGTATCCAAATTGATGTCTGTATGTGTTTTGTCAATGTAAAATGATCGACCATTGTTCAGCAAAGATATCACATGTAATTTTGTCTATTTAAAGAGGATTTTTTCACTTTAAATGGATGGCATATTCCATTATTGTCATTTTGGTTATTGTTGTGTTTTTATTGTCGTTGTTGCTCTTCGTGTATTTTTCTTGCCATGACCGGCCCAGGTCGTTCGCAGGGCCATGCATTAGAAAGAGTTAGTTTTGGCTAACAAAAACTCGTTCATCGGACAGAGAACGGAAAAAGAGCCTGGCGAACGGATGATGAGAATGTAACACATAAAGTGAATGAAACAAAAAAAAAACACATTTATATGTGTAGAAACATTTTGTGCGCGATATACACATGAAAATGGTCCAAAAGAAGGTGCTATCTCAATTAAAGTCTTTTTTATCTTGGCATTTAATCGATCTGATCACGTTTTTTAAACGTCTACATGTCAGTTACTCTTTATATTGTTGTAATTTAATGAAGTTATTTTGCTTGTGCTTGGCCATTTGGTGGGGGGAAATAGTCAAGGGTGATGCGTAAATATTCATTTTTGGAACGATCGAGCTTGATGATCCAAACTACTTTAATCACTTGTAAAACCATGTGTAAAACTCACATAAATCATTGTTTATTGAAATCCAAATGTGTTATTGTAATAAATACCAACAATATCAATGTTATATATTGTCTGAATGATTTTTTGTTTGGTTGGTGTTCATTATTTAATGATGTTTTTATGTCAATGGTCCATTCAACATTTCAATTCGAATAATTTACACCATGAAATTTCCGTTTTTTTTCGTACAGTATTATTAGCAGCATAATCATTTTAAATGTTAATTATTTGAATATGTTGTTTGTAAATCGTTTCGAATGCTTTACCTGTTCTGGTGGTAATTTTGATGATTGTGCATCATATGATTGTGTGGTTGCTGTCCCGTTGCCATATTCATGTGAGACTGCTGATGTTGTGACATATTCGACATATGATGAGTGGCAGTTTGCGGTGGCATATGTGGGGGACGCATCATCGTTTTTGTTTTGTTATTTTATCCACAGGAATGATTCTAAATCGAATAAAATTTACATATAACAAAAAATTACCATTAGTTAAAATACAACAGCACGTAAAATGCATAAATAATAACAGAAATGGCATTGATTCATTGACCGATGGCAAAGAAGAAGAAGAAGAAAAGCGTGTTATTGTGAAAGATTCAACGTGCAGGTAAACATGGTTTAATGTGAACAATGCAATCCTTATGCGCTCTAGATATGTCAATGCACTAATGTAAACAATGATTCTACGACCAAAACAAACCCGGAGAAAAAGAAGTCGCGTCGAAAAGCAAAAGAGAATATGTGCATTCAATTTGGTGTCATGTTTATTTGCGTGCATTTTATTCAAATGCATTTCCCATTTAGCAGGCCAATAGCATTAAAGTTGTTTGCATCAACTTCAACACACTATTTGGTGTGTCTCCCATTCTGAATATGCAAAACTGTATTAATGCACAGAGATGCAACTGGTTGTGCAAAAATTGAATACTTTAACTCTTTTTTTTATATTTTCAAGAATCGTATTGGGATTGGATAGCTTGGTGGTTCTACTGTTTTTTTTTAATTCGGTGTACTCGTGTGTGTGTGTGTGTGTGTGTGTGTGTGTGTGTAGCATACATTAAACAACTTAAAACGCATAAGTTCAAGCGTGAAATGTTGTGAACGACTTAAGTAGAAAATCAATTTTTTTTGCATATAAACATAGTCGGTAAAAATGGTTGATGACGTATGACGGGAAATGCAATAAATAACAAAAGAAATGAATCTTTGTGACGGGAACGACAAAAATACGATGGAAAACAATGAGATGCAGATGCAGACGATCATTGACCCAACAGCATTGCAACAAGAAAACAACACACAAAGAGATGAAAAAAGAGAACTGCAACTTTGATGAATGCATGGCGCAACATGCACGTCACTCTAGGAATAGGATTCATTGTATGCAGTCGAGAAAAATCGCTGCATTATACATATGACGCTGGGTTGAAAAAAAACACACGGCATTAAACACAAAGAATGTATTTCTTTTTAGATTCTAAAATCAATACATAGAAACGCATCCAAAGACACGAATATCTCGAATGCTTCTCGGTCGGTTAGTATGTACGGGTAACAAAGTATGCATTGCACACGTATCAATGGTAGTTTTTGTTGAAAGCAACATTTGTACGTCACAGGCATAGGAGAGACACAGTCACACACCAAAAGCGAGAGAGAGAGGGAGAGAGAAAGACGCATACGCACATTTGAAATACTATGTGCTAAAATACCGCTAGACTCACGAGCGCTCACTGACACACATATATCGAGGACATAACGAGAAAATTATTCGATACACACTACACAATGAATTGGAGTACGAACGGACGCGTTTGTTCTTCGATTTTATTTACGTCGACTTTTCTTCGCCTTTTTTGATTGCAACTGTGATGGAACATCTGTTTTCGACCAATTTATATGCACATTTAATTTTATTTCTCGTGTTTTTTTTTTATTAACAGCTCAAAACCGACTTTTTTATGTTACGATTTTTACACACAATACACAACGAAGATTGGCCTTAAGAAAACAAGGAAAAACTAACAAAACTATCGTTTTGTTCAGTATTTTTGTTCGAAACCACTTGCTTATTGATGTTTATTGCAATGTAATGCAATTAAATGCAAGCGAAAAAAAAAAATACAATTTAGGCGAAAAGTTCATTGTCCAAAACCAATGAACCCATAACAATGCAAACGCTTCGGCTATTTGGTCTTTCTTCTTTCGTTGAGCTCATTTAACCGATTTATCAAGTTGGAATGAAGGATTTGAGTATTTGCTTCATAATCTATAGAAAACTATTGGTCTTATTTATGAATAGAACTTGAAAATTTGTTCAACACAAGCAAAAAAAAACATAATACCGTAACATTGACGCAAGAAAATTTGCAAATAATATGTGTGTTTAAAAATATCCAAATTTTCTTACCACTTAAAGAAACACAGTTTTTTTTTCGTACAAAAGGATTTATACTGTTTTGGAGCAAAAATGTGTTCACGTCACAAAACAAATGCTCTCTACAATTTATACAGAATGTGTTGATTGTTGTTGTTTGGCCAACTTTATCTATGCACATTTATAGAAGAATAAAATAACAAAAATTCCACTGCTCGCCGTGTCGCATCAAATCTCATTCAAACTTTTTTCCTTCTTAAAATTACTGCAGCTAATTTTATTCGAATTTCAAATCAACTATATTAAACTATAACAAACTTCTTAAACACTTGAATTTACATTATGATTTTAAGTGTACAAATTTATGAATGAACTAAAACATTGGAAATGAAATGAAGAACTTCGTATTATTTATTTTATTTAACATGCGGACATTTTTGATTTTGACTTTTTTCGTGTGTTGTTCTTATTTTATGTCGACTGAAGTTTCGATGCAAGTGACAGTTCGACGACAATATTTGGTTACGTGTTTCAACTAGTCGCCGCAATGAGGCGCTGTACCAACTTCAAACCATTTGAAATACAAATTCAGCTTTCACTGAAACGAAATTGCTGATACAGTGTTTATTCACATTCGCTTCTGCAGTATAATGACCAAATTAAAAAAAAAACACACACAAAAATATTACGTAAATGTATTATATTTTTGAAAATGAAACAAAAAAAATTCTTCGGCAATTAAACAAATTTGACGCTTGATGAAAGGTTATTTCCAGAACATTTCCAAATGATGACGTTGATCGATGTTGTAAAGTAAACAAATGAAGTTTAATTGTTATTAAAAATAAACTATAACTTTTTTTTCCATACAATTTTTATTCATTGACAATGGCCCCGCGTCAATGCTATAAATATAATTTTCGTTTGGATGCGACCAAAATCGTAATTTGTACCCCGTAATAATTACTGATTTTAATCTAATGTAATAATGTTCAATGAAACGCTGTTTGACCAAAAAATCGGATTATCGACAATATATTGTGAGATTCTGAATGTTATTTGGCCAGTTTTTCACAAGCAGTCGATCGAAAATGAGCCAAAATTTAAACATGAAAACAATCGTGATTCTTTTTGTTTTGCTCAATTCATTGGTGGATTGCAAGCCAATAGAGCATACAACTAAATCGTCATCTTTGCTAAACGCTGCAGAGGTAAATCATAGTGGCAAAAGTGGCATAAATATTCAGACAAGGAATGCTGCGCGAATGTCGTTGCCAAATGATGTTGAATGGATTCAACCGACAACTGTATCAAATCAACAGCAAGTTTTACCCAATATGACTTCAGCGGTCGGCTCACTATTCGAACTAATACTAGCGGTAGGTTTTTTATTTGGACATTTTTTTCTTCAGTAAATTTATATATTATGCTTTTAATTCTTTTTGAATAAAGATTCCGATTGGTGTACTTCAATCGGTGGGCAACCTTCTTAGATCTGCAACGACACCGCGCCGATTTTAAGAGTAATTTCAACGTACTTTTTATCATCAACTTTGGATAGATTTTATTTGGTGCTCATTAAGCACCGACAATAATGCCAGGATCGTTCTTTTGGCCAACTCTTCAAAATAAGCTAGTTGTAGTGCGTTTGCCTTGACTTTCACCCTTGATTACTGATTCGTTATGTAATAATGTAGCACAAAATTCGGTGTTAGTTAAATCATAAGCTGTAATAGTGATAATCGAACAAAAATAAATAAAGCATACCAAAAAAAACCCAGAGCGATTTCATTTTGCATTGCAAGGGAATCTGTTTGTTTGAATGTTTACAAGAAAATTAAATATCTTGGTTGATTATATGAACGAAAAATTCCTTATTTATTGGATTATTCATGATTTTGAGGTGTGTTCAAGATTAGTTTTCTTCCGTTTTTCATGACATTCTTCCGTTGTCAACTACGATTCAATTGCATCATCAACGTGTGGCTAATTTGTGTTTTCTGACAAATATTTCCATTGTACAAATGTCTAAAGTTCACAATTTCTTTGTTAACTTTATTCTTCTTCATGAAATCGAAAAAAAATGCGCATTGTTGTAGAGTTTTTTTCGCGTTGTCCAAAAAGCTTTGAATGAATCTTGCTTGCCATTGGTTTCAAAGTGGTTTAGCTTTTACTGTTTTATGGCTCGCAGACAGAATTGCGACTATGCTAATTGTTATTGTTGATTTCAGCACAAAAAAAAGAATAAATACAAATTTTAAGCCGTGACTTACGGAAAATACTGAAATGCAAAAAAAAAAACAGTCACTCATCGTCATTAGTCTTAGTCACCACATATATATAATTGATCCGTTGTACGGCTTCTTCGATAATTTTAAGCAACAAAGCTTATTTCTTGTTTGAAAATTTTCTCAACGACAAACACTCACCATACACAAAGTGCACGACAAGAAAATGCTCAGTTTACATCTGACCACGAACAATACTGTATCCATTATCAATTTGGTTGCAGCGATGATAGATTGTTTTCTATTATTTCAAAGTGCAACGTAAAAAGACCATCGTATCTTTTGATTTAAACAATAATTAAAAAATAACGAAATATAAAGGGTTCTTTTTTCCTCAACGATTTTGAAATGATTTCGAACAGAAATCCGTTAAAAATTATTGTGATTTTTTTGATTTCAATTGGTAAATTAGTTCACAGTGATACAAATGAAATATGCAGCACATTCAGTGGCCGACGAATTTATTCCGATCAGGATGGAAGTGGATCGATTCAGGCGGCTAATGTCACATCATCGACCTTGAAGAATGTGAGAATGGTTTTTCCATTGATTTGCTTGGTGATTTGAATAGTAAATACAATACAAACTCTGGTAAATGGCTTCAAAGGCTTTAGATTGGCATGAAGTTGCGTCAACGCTAAGTGTCAGCTGACATTCCGTTAATATTTTAACAAGATTAATGAATATCGATTCGCATGCAAATTTTTAAATGAAAAGTCAAATGGAAATCTATTGAGATCCAATTATGAGAGGATTTTCAATTAAAATTTGAGACCATTTGACATGATCATCTATCGGTTAAGATCAGCGATCATATTCATTGTCAATGATTTTGCATTGGATTTTACCTTGATGAGTTCCAGTCAATAGAGTTTGTGATTTTGTCGGGATTTAATTGAATTTACAACTAAAACACAATCATCGTCATTTTCGATGTCGGTTCAAATCAGTTTAAAGTGTTTTTACGTGTATATTTGTCAATTTCAGAAAGTTGCGCAAATTCAACGCATGTCCGATGGTTCAGCAATTATACACTATCAGTGCCAATTGGAGTTGATAACCTGTGCAGCTTGTGTTTTCCAAATAAACATTAGGTAAATAGGCCATTCAATGACATATTATTTCAAACCATTTTTTTTAATTATTAAAATTGTATAATTGTTGACCGCTTTTTCATCTCTTTCTCTGTAATTATACTTTATTCTGAGTTCATATTAGCAATACACAATTTACAAAGACCTGTGACGAAGGTGACACATCATGCAAATGTGCTGATTATATTAGCTTCACTGAGCCACCATATGATGAAAATTCCACGGAGAAAATGTGGTGCGGAAGGTCACCACATCAATTTCGAACCAGAGGTCGTATATTGGTTGTTACCTACGTATATCAAAAAAGTCATGATAATCCATTCAACTTAACCTATAGCAGTGAACGTATGTAGCCTTGCGACTGGAATTTAAATCGATTCGAAATAATAATTTATGTTTTTTTTTTGTTCTGTTGCAGAAAATCTTCTAACATATAAAGGCGTTGTGTCGGAGAATGACACATCGGAAAATGTTGATGTTCTTCAGTCACCATTTTTTCCAAATTTTTATCCGCGAGATTTGATCATTGAACACTTAATCGAATGCAATTTAAACGATTCCACTGTATGTTACATTGAAATTTCATTTTCTGATTTTCAAATATCTTTGACATCGGTGATAGAGGTAAATATTAGCGAGAAGAAAAAAAACATTTTCCAATTTTCACTCGACTAAGGAAAGATCGCATTTTAATTTTAATATAATATTATAGTTTTACAATGAAGAAAATGAAATGATGCAAAAATATACGGGTGAAATATTTCGACCGCCAATAATTCAATTGTTGGCTCGATTCATACGGATTCGATTTCTTGGTAATGGAGGCTCCGGTGCTGGATATCGTGCAACAATACGCTATCTGGCACATGACTTTTCAAACACAAAAATTAACACCCATTGTGGTGGTCTTGTTGAATCATTCGGTGGCGCAATTACAATGATGAACATGACCAATTCGAGTGCAATGGCATTCGATTGTATTTGGTTAATAAAACCACCAAATAGCTATCATCTGAAAACACATCTTCTGGTTCGCATTGATACATTCGAAAATATGGGTAAAATAATAAAATGAATTTTGTGAATTTGTCGAATGTCTATAATGATGTGATGACTATTTTAGGAAATACATCAAGTGTAATCATACGGGACGGATCAACATCTGATTCGACAATGCTAAAGCAATATGGTTGGCCCATTCAAACAGCAGACGGAAAATTCCAAAGTTTTGTTACTACATTATCATCTGGATTTTATATCGCATTTAACGGTGTTTTTACACCGAAATCACGATTTGCCATTGTTTATACGGCTTTCAGTTATATGGGTGAGTTACATTCAACACACTTTTAATATTTGGCTATTTATTTCATTAGCTGTTCAAAGTATGTTTCATGTAAGAGTACGCCTAACATTAGTGTTTTTTTTTCTGCAGATTGTTTTCCTGGGCCGGAATTTTTATGCGAGAATCATAGATGCATTCCATTTTTCTTGCAATGCGATGGTTTCGATCACTGTGGCGACGGCAGTGATGAAAACGAAAGATGTGGCAACAATGATGGTAAATAAAAATGTGCAATTATTTTGTTGTTTAATGTGTGATCAAATTTGTATTATGAAATCATTTATAGCGGATGAAGCAGAAACCAATCAGTACTGGCTTACGCATACTCCAAATTATTTTTTTCCAAAAATCGATCATTATCCAGATTTAAAAACAGCTACATTGGTATTTATGGTTAGCGCCATGACTTTGGCCACACTGATTTTATTGTTGATTATCATTTTATACCGAATGAATCATCATGTGCGCGAACAAAGAGAATTACAAAGCCAATTACGGACCATTAGTGAACTGCTCGGTAAGAACAATAAAGTAAATGTTTTATCATTAAAATCTGTGTGAATGTTTTGTAAACATACATTGTTGTGTTTAAAATGCCGTGAACACCAAACGAATTATTCGTAACATTGACGTATTTTGTTCGCGTGTAGATAACAATGCAAATAATCAAAATGAAGAAAATGAAGCGGCTCAAGAGCAACCACCAGCATACGAAGATCCACCCGACTATGAGGAAGCAAGTAGTTTGAAACTAGATATGAGTCTTCGACGATCCAGCACCACAAAATTGGAAACTCACAAACGCAGAAGATCGCGATCCCGTTCAAGGTTTGCATGAAGATTTTTATCCAAAAAAATATACATATTTTTACAGCATTTTTCTTTGGTTCTTTTTTAAGAAGTCATTCTCGACAATACGAACAAAATTCACTGCTGAATATAGCCTCTTCGACACCAACACCATCCGAAATATTATTACCTGAATTGTACTTGACGGATCCAGCATCACTTTCAACGACAAATATAATCGAGTGTGAAATAGCATCACGGACACAGCGTAAGAGTGTTTTGTAAAAGATGTTTTATGGTAAAAAAAAAATCAAAATAAAATTCTCCCATTGAAGGTAGACATTCTGAATCAGTGAATGTACATTCTCGACGAAGTAGCCAAATACTGTTAATACCAGATAGTCCACCACCAGAGTACACGCCTCGGCACACACATATTAAGTGAGTAAAAAAGGTTTGGCACATTTTTTTAAAAAATCAATTGAACTTGATTGCGAAGGAATTCTTTTATCCTCATTGTATATTCCCCGCATTGAAAATATGTACGTTTACCATTTTTGTGAATATTTTCTTTCGATAATTGCAGGCAAATATTACAGCCATCTGAACAACCATTTTTGTTAGATAAACCATTGGATGCAGAAATGCAGAATGATGGTCATCTGGGTAATGAAATCGAGTGTCCCACTGAGAGCTTGGCCTAGTCACATCTGATCTCACTCAATGTGTTTCCTTTTTGCAGCTCTTATCATAAATACCGACCAACATAGATTGATTGATATTCAAGAGTCGCCATTGGTGCACACCGATCATCCTGAACAAATGTTGGAACATGAACATCCCGAACAAATGTTAAAAAGTCCCCATTCACCACGTCGACATTCATTCCAAGACGATAATTTGACCAATACAAATTTTTTTGAACAAAAATTTGCTCAATACATTCGACCGATTGATACTGATTGTGATAGCGATACAATTGACACTCAATGTCGCATTGAAAATAAACAGTGCTCATTGAGCTGGTTGAAAAATGTCAATGCCATGTATAACAATTACCTGAAGTATGAAATAATACCTCCGCAACAGCTAAAACCCGTTTTGCGTAAAACATCTTCCGAAAATGAACTATTACTGATGTCAAAATCAAACAATTCCAGTTTACGTGAACTTCCCATCTTTCGGAGATCATTCAGCAGCGGTCTTCTTTTTTAATAAACATAGAAAATAAAAATACAAACAAATTTCAAGTTTTCAAGTTTTTTGTTTGAATTCCACGAATATTATTTATTTAGTATAGGAAAATGTAGAGGCAAATATAAAATTATGCTTATAATGTATAGACTGTAAAAAAAATGGAAAATTAATCGATGTAAAAGTGAAGATGTGTTAGATTAGGTTTACACTTTAAATGGACATTGAATGCTATTTTAGACGATTCAAATAAATGTAAAACATAACAATGGTGCTGGCAAACACATTGGACAAACAAGCATGTGCATTGTGCATATAAATCGATGATTTTGTTTTTAATCAAACTCGTTTAGTTCTCCTTATTATCTTCGGTTTCCTGTAACAATATAAAAAAAATTGTTTATTCATCATTTATGCCTGAATACATTTACTAGACAAAAAAATGGCACCATTGTCTTCAGACTTACAAAATTGTTGGTCATTTCGATGTTTGAAAGATTTTGAGTTAGAAGTTGTTTGCGTAGACTACTTGAAAAGGGCGTTGAAACTGAATTGGCATTAAATAATTGACTTTCGCACAGTGTTCGATCCACTGACTGTTCTAATACTGATGGTTGTAATGTATTTTCTAAAATTGTTACTTCCATCACTGTTGACGCTTCGTGGGTCATTGTTACCTTTGCAAAATGATGATAAAAATTGATTTCAATTGTTCTTTATTGCAATTGTAATAGATCACTTACCTCTGGAGTGATGGCCGAACAATTTAAATCGGCTGGATTATGCTTACTCCATAAATCAGCGACTATTTTACCGTGTGGAGATGTAGTTGCAAGTACTCTTGGATAATGATATTCACGTTTGGATGGTGTTTGGCCCGTTGGTGTATACAATTGCAGTTCATTGTTATGGAATGTTTGCAATCGTGTTTGACAGAAATCGATGTCCGAATTTAATGTATCATAGAATTCATTTCTGGTCGCCTCCAATGTGTTCATTGTGTCATCAAACTCAAATTGATGCGCATCGATGCGATCTTGTTCAACAGTTACATCGTTTATTAAACCATTCAAACCGCCGTCAATATCAATTCTTGTCATTTCGCATGTGTTTTCGATCTGATTAAACATGTCATACACCTTATCGGTAAGAATTCTCTTTTGTTCCAAGAAATTCTTATCCATTTCAGCTATGCTGGTCAGTAAATTTGTTTCATTTTCACCGCTAACTTGCACCATTTCGGCAACATTTGACTTAACATTCTTAGCCGCTGACTCACATTCAACCAAAGTATCAGACATTTTTGTATTATTACTGGTCATTTCATTTTTGAAATCATCAAAAACACTCAAATTCTCTGCCAAATCGGTTTTAATTTGAGTTTCAACATTTGCCAAATCGTTGGACACATTTCGCACCAATTTATTATTGTCTCTTGACTGATCAACTAACACTTTCAGTTCATCGATCAAACTGCTGAGCTTCGATGTTAATTCGTCATGTTTATCGGTTGAAGTGGCCAATGTTTGTCGACTCGATTGAATTCCTTCAACGGTTACATCACTTTTCGTCACCAACACATTTCGCAGTTCAGTCTGATGATTGCTAACGAAATCAAAATGGGTGCGTTGCTATTCAAAAAAAAAAAAAAACACAGAAGGCAATGGAACATTTGAATAGTTTTGAATAAATTCGAAGGAAAAGAATGAGAATTTTTCATGTGCTTACCAAATTTTGAAGACTTAATTGACTTTGATCGAATTGTGCGTATGATGCATCAACACCGGTTTGTAGTTCAATGTATTTCTTTTTCAGCACTTCTCTTTGCTGTTCGGCTGCTTTTATGATTTTATCTTTTTCCTCTAGATGTTTTCGGAATATTTCGTCAACTTCTGTTCTACCACCCGCCAAACATTCTTCAATGACACGCTTTCCGTGCTGTTCAGCTTCAATCAGTGTACTTATTTTCGCAAGCATAAATCCACAAAGTTCTTTGCTTTGTTTGGTATTTGTGCCTATTGTATACAAAATGGAATCGTAAATATAGTTAGTTGATTTGCAGAGTTGTTATGGTCAACGCGGAGGTGCGGACATTTGTGAGTGCTGCTCTATTTTGTAATCAGGGGTGGCACTTGAAAAACTATACACTTCTCTTGCGACCAATAAAAATTCTGGTGATTTGATATGGGCAACAACTTGAAGCCGAATTTTCTTACCCATTTTGTTTATCAAAGATAACGTTTGATCGTTCAGCGCCGTTTTATATTCACCAAGATTACTAGTCATACTGATAAAATGGCTATTGAGATTGGTGTCAAGTTTTTTACACGCTTCGCGATTGCTGGAATCGTAATTTTTGCGCCGTTCAATTGAATCGTGTAATTTGTGCACATCTTTGGTGGCATTGTCTGCCACATCCATTATCTGTTTTCCTTGTGACGTGAGTATTTTCTCCGTTTCCATATGCTTTAAGAGAATTTGTTTCTTTTCTTGGTATCCACGCTTTGCTTTATCCAAAATCTGAAGAAAAAAAACAAATTATTTGAAAAAAAAAAAAAATCATTTTACGATTAAGTGAGCAAAAAATGGGGCTTAACACGTACTTCAGCTGTTTCAGTTAACGTATTTTCAGTTTCTTTGAGTTGTTCGGTGCGATTGTTCAATTCAACACAGATTTCATCCAGTTCCTTTTGTTTTTCGGCCAATTTTTCCTTTTCTGCTTTGAGTTTATTTATTTGATCAGTAAGTTCGGCTCTCTGTGACTCCAATTGATAATTCATCTGGTTATATGTTTCTTCGGCCATGTAAACACCATTCTTATCTCTAGCTGCCATTAAATCACGTTTCAAACGATCAATTTCTTCGGTGTATTCTTTCAATACGGTTTTCTTGGTGAGTTTTTGATTCACTTCTGGTTTATTTTGAATATTTTTGGCACGATTTGCATACTCTAATGTGCTGGTTGTCTCTTCCAAATCCTTGTGTCCGGGTGAAATGGTAGCAATGATTGAGGTTTTTGTGCGACCACCAAGTGACTCTTGCAAAAGTCGTGTCAATTTCGATTCACGATACGGAACATGTGGTGTACGTTCAACCAATGCCGTAATTACACGGCCAAGTGTCAATAGCGATTGATTTATATTGACGGTTTCACGTGTTCGAATACCTTTTTCATTGCCGGCTTTTGAAATATTTTCACTGCCAGCCAAATCGACTAGATTTAATTTACCGATTTTCAGTAATTCTTCACCTTCAATGCCTTCTTTTTCTTTGATATGCACCAAAATTGAAAAAACTGTATGCGAACGCGACGATTGTGCGTTCATCTGAGTCGATGCCATTCTACGTTTCTCTTGACCCTTTGCCAATAATTTGTACACATCAGACGTACTATGGACGGGAATTTCTTCTAAGCCTTGTACAATAATCGAACCTTTTTTATTTGGATCTTCAAATATACGGATTTGGGTGACGTCACTCGACGACAACAAATCACACAATTCCTCATTATACAATTCAAGATATGAAATACGCATCGTAAACTCAACATCCATTGATCGAAGCTCCTCAAACAAATGCGACAATGCTCGTGGTATAATGCCCATTGCCGATGACTGTTACGAATAATTTAAATAAAAAGAAAATCAAAATATAGTTTAATGTCATCATTTTTGGTAAACGATTTTGACAAGAAAAAGAAAGGTAAATGGATAACAAAAACTAACATCTTCGTAGGATGAAAAGCTTTGTGGTGTTTCGTCACCGATCATTGTGTGTGTTTTGCCGGTGCCAGTTTGGCCGTAGGCAAACACCGTGCAATTATATCCAGATAGCACTTCATTGATTAGCGGCGCAACGACCACATGATATACGTCTGCTTGCTTTGAATCCGGACCAAACGCACGATCAAATGTAAATTTTTTTGTCATGCGATTGTCAAGTTGCTTTATAACAACTTCACGATCTGATACCACTCTAACCACTTCATTCGAATGAATATTACGCTCACGGCTATTTATGGGTCTATTATGGAAAAAATAGAACGAAATTCAACCATTTAAAATGACACATTCGTTAAATTCCAATCGAGTGTATGTGATTTTTTATTTTTATCTCTATGGAATTTCGATTTCAGTTTAATGTTTACCTGCATCGAACGTAAACTTGAATATTTTCATTGGCCTTATTTTTCCCACTCATTTTTTTTATTGATACAATGGACAATTTAAAATAGTTATATTTTTTTAAAAGTAGACACACTTAATGGTACAATCAAGTGATGAATGACAAAGAAAAAAAACTAACAACGCCTCGCTGACTTCTCTGTGCTCATGAAATTAAATGAAATTCTGTTAAGATTTAGCTGTCAAAAGATGAAATTTCAAATTTCAACGCAATACAAACGCAATTCCCCTATCGAAAACCAATGACCAACAAGTTTTCACAAAGAGGTTGATAGGTTTTCGCTCAGTTCAAATTTATACGTTTGAAATCAGTCGTTTGTTTACAACTCACGAAAAAAAAAAAATTGATTTCATATGTCGTACAAATTGGTTTATTATTATTTTTTAAAATAAAAATAAATAAATAAATTAAACAAAAAAAATACGCAAAAAGTATAAAAATAAAAAATAGTCGTTTAAACATCCATTGTAACACAATCGTGGTGAAATGTGCGTGATGTAGATTGGTGGCGCTGTCGTCACATTTCAAATGAGTTTGACAGTTTAAACCATTCAAATTGCATTGTATTGCACATAAACACTTATACAAGACGCATATAGCATTTTAAATTGAATTTTACTGTTGGATATTCGAAAATTCAGCGAAATAATTATAAATTTGTGTGTTTTTTAAGTCTTTTTTTCGTATGTGTTGTCTGAAAATTCGGTGAATAATGTCTGAACAACCGGAAAATATTAAAATTTTTGTTCGATTAAGGTAAACACGAAATTTTTTTTAACACTTGATAACGAAATAAAAATTAAATGTTTCTTTACTTTGCCAGGCCATTGTCGAGTACAGATACTCATAAAATCGTGTTCAGTAATCGTTCAAATACGGAAATAACATTGCAAACGAATTGTGCAATTGATTCAAAGTACAAATTTAATACAATTTTTACCGAGCGTATAAATCAAGATGAAGCATTCAATGTGATTTTGGTGCCATTCGTTCGTGACACTATCCAAGGTTACAACACAACTCTATTTTCATATGGTGTAACGCGAACAGACATATCAAACAATGTTGGCGCATCGACCAGCATAATTTCAATGTCGACGCCAAATCTACTACAATCAGCATGCACATCAATTTCAAAATCACCACAACCACCTGAAACTACAATGAACACTCTCGTTTCGTGTGCGTTGTATCGGCTCTTTGAAAATTTAACACAATTGGAGCTCAGTTCATCCGTTCGAATTTCATATTTGGAGATTATCGACGAAGAATTGTACGATTTATTACAACCAAATAATGCGACTGCAGCCGGAATTCAATTGAAAATTTTCGAAAACGATAAAAATAATGTTTACGTAAACGGTTTAACCGAAACGACTGTGCACAGTGCAGCCGAAGCGATGATGATTTTTCGAATGGCACAAAAAAATGCGCGCTCAGTAAAATCGAATTCAATTTTTACGGTATCCATTCAATCGAAAGAAAAGCCCAAATTTCAAGTCGAAGAGAATGAAGAATTGTTTAAATTTCGTAAAATGTGTTTGGTTCAATTGGGCAGCCAAGAGAGTCAGAAAAAATCGGCTCGCGCCAAAACTGTACAATCACTCACCGGTTTGAATCGTGTCGTTCAAGCGCTCATCAATAAGCAAACTTATATTCCATATAGAGATTCAAAACTAACGCGAATCATGCAAGAATCGTTGGGTGGCAATGCAAAAACCGCAATTGTTGCAAGCATTGGATCGGGAAATGGTTCGATTGAAGAAACAATACAAGCATTAGAATTTTTAAATCGCATGAAATGCATTACAAATCATCCGAAAATCAATGAACGGCTTGATGATGCACGCACATTAAACGAAATGGCAATGGAAATTCGCAAATTAAAAATGGACATCGAAGCTAATATTAATAAGACCGGACACTTTTTAACCGATGATATGTATGTAAATTATCAGAATGAAATTCACACCACCAAAACGGATATGCGACGACGTCGACAAGAATTGTTATTGGTACATGAAGAAGGTGCCGATTTGAATTGTACCGTCTCAAATGTTAACACAACATTGTGTGCACAGACACAAAAATTGGAAGAACTTCAAAGCATTGCGTCAACCAAACAGAAACAATCGCAAATATTGTGTCAGGTGTCACAACAGCGAGGTGCAATCATTGATCGATATATTTCTACCGAGAAAACAGTAACTCAACAAGCCAACGATATAACAGCCACTGTACAGGAAGTGTTAGCGGATAAAACAAATCTAGATGCATCGGTCGCTCGGTATAAACTTGTTGACCAACAATTAATTGATACTGTTCGAGAATTTCAAACTGATATGCAACACAAATTGGATAATTTAAAGATATATTCAGCAGAAACACGAGCCAATATTGATGTCAAAGTTCAAAAAACGATCGATCTTGAGAGTAAGTGATTCATTTTTCACTGTTGATCGAAAATAGTAATTTTCTTTTTTTTTTATTCTCTTCATTTCTAGAAACATTTTTACGTAATGCAAGTTTGCTTAATGAAGTAATAAAAACAAAGTCACTTTTATTGTTGCAACAATTGGAAGTAAATCTTACCAAAGAGACGTCTAAATGCAATGACATCAAAAGTGAATTTAGCGAATCGCTGTTATCATATCTCAAAGAATCAGAATCGAATAGCACTCTTTACAAAGGATTCGCTTGCGAACTAGAAGAACAATCCAACTTAATCGAAGCACATTATAAAGAGCTCAGAGAATTGGTAAGTATTTTAAATAATATTTTTATTTTCAGCATCATTAACCGTCCCCCTCTTATCCAATTGCAGTATGTAAATCATTTCATTACGATAAACAATATGATCGACGATATTAAGCAACGGATGGCAGCTCATGGTAAAAAATCCACTGAACTAATTGGTGCAATGCGTTTGACAATTAGTGAATGTGCTGAAATCGGTACAAATATCGATGACAAAATGGAACTTATTTATGAGCAAATGCGTGAAATTGTTCATCAAATACAGCAAAATGCATCCGACATAAAGAACAGCGTTGAACCAGTTCTCATGGCATCCGAAAAAAATGTGCAGGAAGCAAAAGTGGCAATAGTCGAGTCATTGAATGCTCATTTAATTACAGTAAACGAACAAAAGGCACTACTCACCCAGCCAAATCTGTCGGATGATCTCAAGCTCATGCAATCTGAACTCAAAAATACCGTGGAACAAACGGTGATGTTGGCGAATAATTCATTGGAAAAACTGGCATCGAACAATACATTTGCAATCGAACAAAATCAAAAGTGTGTTGAAACCATTTCAACGAATTTACCATCGAAACGCTATATTATGGAAGCACATAATGAAATACCAAGTCTGAGAGATGATTTAAATAGGATTGAAATACGCATTTCAGACAACTACAAGGAAAATTCAGTTGTACTGGACAAAATCACAGTCGATACACAACAAATGTCTAAGAAAATCAATCAAGAAATTGATGCATGCCATAAACAATTGAAGTTTTTCCGTGAAATTGATTTTTCCGAATATACATCATCAGGTAAATGACTTTTTAAAAAATGCACAAGTCAGGTTTGATGGAATTTATATGAAACTAAAATAAAAAAAATTTCGCTGAATTATTTACAGGTGAAACGCCGGTTAAACGAGAATATCAAACGAAAATTTCTTTGGCTGCAACAACACCGCTCGAGAAAATAAAACAGCGTTTTCGCGATAGACTTTCGCAAATGAGCCCAAGTACAGCTGAATACTCATTTCTGAACGAATAAGAGTCCACAAGACTGAAATCATTTTAGATAATAATTACTATGTGTAGGAATGATTATGGCAAAAATGTAAATGCAATCGAATCACAAACAAATCAAAATCATATGTAATGTTCCGAAGAGAAGCAAAAGAAATAATTAAAATTAAAATCAATTTAGCGATGTAATGTGTTCCTTTAAGCAAGCAAAATATGGTGAAAATTTAATTTTTAAAATAATTTTTCATGAATTGTATACTTTAATAAAAGTTGGAGCGAAAAAAAAAATTGATTTGTGTTTTGGCATTCAATGAAATATTTTAGTCAATTCACGCGAATAAATGAAACACGCTGATAAAAATGATTGAAAAAGCATTTGCACGCCGAAGATAAGACCGAATAAAATGAAAAATAAACGATGATTGCCTTTTTTGTGAATTGGCATAAAAAAGATGAACGATTTTCTCAAAGTTGCTATTAGCTAAAATGGACAAAATCAGTGACACAAACATCATACAAAGGAGCATAAATGCTGTTGTACATTGTGTATTTTACAAAATGCATCATTCATTGAAACAAAGAGATACGGAAATAAAGAACGAATACAAAGTAGTCAAGCTGATAACAAGAAAGTTCCGTCTTTTATTCCATCTTAAATTTGTCGTATCGAAAACAGAGCGACCACTTCATAGCAAGCTATGAAGTAAATTAAACGGCATCGGGATTGTCGTTGAGAAACATCGAAAATGTTAGCTTTAAAATCCATTGAATGAAATGAAGATGAAAAGAAATCGAAAATTCAATTTTCTAATTGTAGAAAATTTATTTTACACTACATAGTCTTTATTCAACCAATTGGCGTGTTGCTACAAGCAACAAAACACACACACAGCCAGACATAAATGATGAGCGATGTCATCGAGAATCATCTTACTCTTGAGCAATGCACTTTGAATCCGAATTCGTCCTGACTTTAATTAAGTTTAAGAAGTTTTTGTATGCTTTTCATTCCATTTAGCTTTTTGTCTTTATTTTCATTACCACCCGCTTGGTTTATCTCTCTCTCTCTCTGTGTGTGTGTCTTTCCCTTTTTCATTTCGCCCGGTAGCTCATTTGTCAGAATGTGTTCATTATTTTTCACTTAAGTAAATTAACTAAAGATGACCATTTCTCTCTCTCTCTTTCTTAAAATGACTTTCGCAGAAGAATTGAAAGTGGCAACGACGGCGGTATCAACAACTGAAGTTTGAACAAAGACTAGCAATGATAAGCTAATGTTTTGTTTGTGTGTGTCTCTCTGTGTGTGGAACTGTCTGACTGAATCATCAAAGTCCAGTTTTGTTGAATCATTCTATTGAAGCGGTTGCATTTGCTGTTGATATCGGTATGCGTGAAAAATCTTTTGTAAACTAGTAAAGCTTAGCTGGCCTTTATGCATGATTAGCTTTGATTCTTTTAAATGAAAATAGTTGCAAAACGTTTATGTCGGTTGTTCATTTTGTATTCGACATCCTCCACTTCAGTTACTGTCGCTTTGTAACACACTCAAACTTGTGCCATACTTCACATCAAGATCATCGTATCCAATGCTGCTGTGTGCCGTACATCATTACATGCCGATGTAGATTTTAGAAATGCAAGAATCTTTTTTAAGTGGCCATGCACCAGTTCACTGCGCATTCAATGCATAGAAAAATAATTAAATGATGTCGTAGATGATGTTCAAGTAGAAAATTTGATTTAAACAATTTCGAGATATTTACGCTGTTGCAAAATTATAAAGGCAAGACAGCAAATGTAAGTAAATTAGATAACACAAAGTCCCCCTTTATATTGCTCAATTTATTGCGAACCATTCTGCAGCAATTTTCTATAGCATTCTGCATATGATGTAGATACAGGCTTTGCAGCCCAATTCAATGTCGTGCTGATGTTCGGTTGTGTTCAAATCCGAATGGCTGTATATGCGATGCAATGCAATGCGGTGCAAAGCTCAAAGCAACCCTTGAACAATATCGCCGACAAAGACGAAAATGAACATCGAAGCTGAATTTCATCTTGAAACTTACCAAATGAGTGTATGTATATGTTTTGTGAATAACGGCACTATTGCAATTCTTGGCCCGCATCTTGTTTCTTTTGCAAAATACATTTTCTTACCACGACGCCAAAATTATACCAAAAATACGAAAGAACACAAGAATGATTCATTCAATATGAAATCCGTATTATTAAACCACAAAAAGCAACACCGACAACTTCAAGTAGGATACTAACGCATATTCCATGCGAACCAAAAGATTAAGAGGAAACAAAAACCAAAAATATATAACATTCATTCTCTTCATGCGTGCTGCTTGCAAAATCTACACTGACAAAATTATTTAGTAAATTTTATAAAATTATTTGTAACTTTGCACCACTATGAATAAAGTTGGCAACGGACACGGACGTCCATTAAAAATGTCCCAAAAAGGCTGTCTGTCCGTCCAAAAAAAGTCCTGACGTCCGAAAATTTGAGCGTCCGAAGTTCGGGCATAGGAACTTTTTTGAACGGACGGACAGCCTTTTTCGGACATTTTTCCAGACATCTTTAACGAAAAAAATGACATAGAAAAAAACATATAATAAATTTTAAAAAATACAAGTATAGTCTATGAACGAATCCTCAGACAAAATGTTACCCCCTAAGAATTTTCGAAGAATTCTTTAAATTTAAGAAAAAAACTACTTTATTTTATTTACTTTTTTCACATACGTGTGCTGTTTTTGACACCGGAGAAGTGCAGCCATTCACCATCTCGCTCACCATATTTCCTTAATATTCCATGCCGAGCTGCACTTGAATATAAGCTAAAAAAGAGACCACGCCTTGCTAAACCAACTGTCCAACTCTGATAATCTAAAAGAATTTGTAGAAATGTCACTAAAGAAATTTCTCAGTGTATAATGTGTAATGTAACGATTCGGTTCGGCACTGCACGACACATGGCACGCACGGCATTGAGCCAAAGGGTGAACAATGAACACGATACGTAGGTTGCTCCATAATTTTTTTTAAAATGGTACTTATAGTGTTGCCCGATGTAAACCATTGTCATATTCGTAAAGTTTGATGTTTTGGTATGTATTCGTGCCCTGAACCTTTTGTCGTACGAACGCTATTTGTATTGTTTACAGTGACTGGTAAACTGCGACTCAACAAAAAAATGAATTTTACACGTGAAGATTTTCGTAAAATGATTTACTACGATTTTCGAAGTAAATTATCTCAACAACAGTGTTTCGATCGACTTCATTTGGCCTTTGGCAATGAAGCACCAACCCTTCAGACAATTTATAACTGGTACCGAGAATTCCGTTGCGGTCGTAGTTCGCTCAAAGACGAGTTTCATACAGGTCGTCCAAAATCGGCTGTTGTGCCACAAAACATCGATGCTGTCAGAAAACTGATTATGGAAGATCGTCATGTGACCTACCGTGAGATTGAGGCATCTTTGGGCATTTCATCCCACAGCATACATACAATTTTGCATGAACATTTAGCCGTAAAAAAGATTTGCTCTCGTTGGATCCCACATAAATTGACCGATGAACAAAAAATGGCTCGTGTGAGTTGGTGTAAAGAAATGCTCAAGAAATTCAATCGTGGTGCTTCAAAAGACGATAATAAAATCGTCACTGGTGACGAATCGTGGATATATGCCTATGAGCCCGAAACGAAACAGCAGTCGACTGTATGGGTCTTCCAAAATGAAGATAACCCAACGAAAGTTGTTCGAGCAAGAAGCACTTCGAAGCGAATGGTCGCCTGTTTTTTCGGGAGAAGTGGTCATGTGGCAACCGTTCCACTAGAGGATCGTAAGACCGTCAATTCTGATTGGTATACCACCATTTGTTTGCCCGAAGTGTTTGGTGAAATAAGAAAAAACAACCACCGTCGCAAAATAATTCTTCATCACGATAATGCGAGCTCTCACACATCTTTTCAAACTACTCGATTTTTGACCGGTCAAAACATCGAACTGATGGGTCATCCACCGTACAGTCCTGACCTGGCACCCAATGACTTTTTTTTGTTCCCAAGCGTGAAGAAAAAACTACGTGGTCAACGATTTTCGACACCAGAAGAAGCAGTTGAAGCGTTCAAAACACACGTTTTGGAGATATCAGTTTCGGAGTGGCACGAATGCTATGACAAATGGTTTCATCGAATGCAAAAGTGTATCGATCATCTCGGGGAATATTTTGAAAAACAATAAAACCATTTTCGACAAAAAACAACTGTGTTATATATGTTTTTAAAAAAAATTATGGAGCAACCCTCGTACAACCTATTCCACTCATTCGGTTGGATTACTGCACAAAGATTTTTGACAATTCAAAGCAGAGCAAAAATAATAGCACCAAATTAAATTTACAAAATAAACTCCTCGGCGCATGGAAGCAAACAATAATGTGAATCTACGTACAGTGTACACGAAGCCACAAAGCCAAATTGTAAATAAGAACAAGTAATTAACACATTTCTTGGTAAAGTCATCGTCCCGAATGTAAATCACATGAAGCACCTCTCTCTCTCTGGCTCTTTTGCTCCCACTTGGTTTTCGTCGAGTTGCTTACTTGTAACAATTCTGTTCATTATTATCCAAGTTTGAGAATCGACCACCAAAGCATCGCCGTAACAGCACACGACGAATACCATGAAAATATTCATTTCGTCAATTAGTCAAGACTGGCTTCAATGCACTATTTGATACTATATGGAAGTTTCCATTCAATCGCAAGTATGTTTGGATCGTGATGCATATATTTTTGGCTCGAGATGAGCATATCAGGATGTGTCTGTGTGTACGCGTGATAACCATATCTTAAATGTTGAATAGAAAATCGGATCGAATTGTTACGGCATGCATTATGGTCCATCTTCAATAGACGCTCTTAGAAAATTATAAAGCCGAAATTTTATGTGTATGCATACGAGTATGTGAGAGGGGGAGAGAGGGAACGAGATAGTGACTGCAAAAGCATAATTACTGAATATTATATTTAGATGTTTTGGTACGTAAATGAGAATATGTATTTTGGCATCTATTATGTACATACAAAATCACTTTGAATAACGTTAAATGTATTTACAAAAGCTATTGTGAAATTATTACAAATCGATCACCAATAGCCAATATCCAGAGATTAGCAAAGTCAGAAAAGCAAAGAACAAACATCTCTAATAGAAGTCTTCATTGATTCGATGAATATGGTTTCAGCAAACATATCAAAATTTCACATTATCAAAACACATTTTTAGTGAGAGAGCGACAGAGCGAGAGTGGAAACGTTCAATGCATTTTTCAAGTTTGTTTGTCTTATTTCCTTCGATTCTCAAACATTGATTAATAAAAACCATTCACATTATTCGAACGTTGTTTGTACAAAGATTTTATGTGGATATGGAACTGGATCCCCAACGAAAATCAACGCCATTACAAAAATATGAAGAAAATATTCAATGTCAATGGGTATAGCCATTTTTCTACGCCGAAACACACACACACACATATATATATATACATC